AAAAAAAAAAAAAAAAAAAAAAAGGGTATTCCTACCATTTGTTATATTTGCAATATTTATAGCTAAAATATATTTTTGGTGCTTAAAGTGCAATTTATAGCATAACATCTTAGCCTAAAGGATAAGATGCACGGTGCATTCGTATCAAACGATGCAACCGTACCGGTGTTCGAATCCTGCAGGCAGGTACCTATTTTTCTAATGAAATACGAATTTAGCATAATATGTTCAGGAATGGCTTCCATGGTGAAGGAATATAGAATGTAGTAAATAAATAAAAACCACAAAAATTGTAAGTTGCGTAATTACTGGTGGTAGGGCGCCTTGCGACCCCGTACAGGGTAGATATCACCACTCTGCCTATTTCTGCCGTAAGGCAGTAATGCTTTTGGGTTTGAAAGGTGGTACAACAGTGGTCCTGTAAAACGGAAACATAAAAATAATGTTATAAGATGCGGGCGACATTTACATTGTTGATGTATCTAGTATCCGGTGACCACTTAATACCGGATGGCCCGTGAGCTCATACTAAGCAATAAAAAAATACAGAATTTTACTTCGGAAATTATCTTTGTGTAGCTGTTGATAAATAAGATGGTTTAAATTATAGCGTAATAATATGAATATGTATCACTCCATTCTTAACAACTTATGTATCTAAGGAGAGTAAGCTCTCATGGACGTTAATAGTAGATACCTACCTACGAATCTACGAAGATCTCTGAAGTCGGGACACCTTTTCAACGTAATGATTGCAATTACGCCCACTGAGCTACACGACGGATTTCTACAATTGTTATGTTCGTTTTTGTTGATAAAAATAGTACATTTTTTCTGGCTAAAGGGCTCTAAATTGTTATACATTAACACTTGATAGACTGAATAGATTAAAATAATCTCCACGTTAAAAATCAATTACTACTAGACTAAAATATATGAATTCAAGATTTACTTATTTGTGTTATATACTATTTATGTTATTAGGTGTCAGCTCTTCAATTTGCTGTTCAATCCCTGATTTCCCTTAAATAAAAGATAAAGGAGAGAGAATCAATGAATTCTTTGAAGGCGGTATTGATCGCATTGTCAAGTTGTTTTTTTTTTGTTCCTATTGAAATGCCAACAGTCGCATCTTTTTTTTGCGATCGGTAAAGTGTGTGGTCGAACGCTATCCTGAAGATTCAGTGGAGTATTAGAAGGGAATCGTTAACAATACTTGTTGAAAGTTCGCAAAAGCAATTATAATCTTTCCTGATTTTATTAATAGCAAATCATAACAGCAGCAGCGGTCCACACACATTCATCACTATTTTCTTTCTGAATTCTTCTATCTTCTTTTTGAATTGATTTTTGTTTGGGACGTGTTTAGACGGTTCCTTCACGACATCTAGCTATTTGAACGTTTCCGATTATCGTAAAGGATCTATTGTTAATTCAAAACGATGATATGATTCTGGTTCCGAAGAGATTGCGGCAGTAGAGTAACAGTGTTAGAAATTCTCTCAGGTTGAGTCCCGTGAGCTCACCTACCGGTCCGCGAGAAGTTCGAATAACTACGCTACCATCGCAACGATTAAGTAGGGAATAAAGACAAAGAGTAACAGTAGCCAGCTCTCGTAGCGTGCAAACTTGACGAGTTACGATTTCGTATTTTGCAACTAGGTTAAAGATAAATCAATATATTATTATTCACATTAATTCCACGATAAAAGAATAAAGTCGTCTAATTAAAAAGGAAACGCGCGGATAAGCAGCACTTTTAAACAATTTTTTCGCGAAGCAGTTCATGCTTTCTGGCTTGAAGGGTGCAACAGCCGTCTATTGAGACGTCAACCTCATGTCTCAAGGCTAGCAACGGCATTTATAATGTGATACCATGGTCTACGGTAACCACTTCAGACAAAACGAACCGTTTCTCCAATAATTATAATAAAAAATACGAATCAATTAAGATTTTAAATTTAATAAGTGCTGTGAGAAAATCTTAACGTAATATTGTTTACATTATTTATACTTGTGTTATAGGTGCAGCGATGTCGGAACAGGATTTAAAGTTACAATTCGGTTTGTGCACCACAATAACGTCATTAAATGCGCTAATGTGTAATTTTGTGTTGCGTCCTTAAGTAGTTACTTAATTATTGTACCTATGTATAATTTAGTCACTTTTAGACTTGCTTTTATTAGCTTGATTTGTATATTTTTTTGTATGGAATGGAATCTTTAACTCCAAGACATCCAATTAAATTGAAATTTTACACACGCATTAAATACTGATGACCATACAATATTTTTATAAATTTAATATCCTGCTCAGTATCAACATGAAATTAATTGTTAGTACGGTATGCTATTATGTATTTTTTGTTTGTTTTTAAACTGCATACATTATTAAGTTTACAGCAAAATCATAAATGATATGCATATTATTGCGTAAAATTTGTGTTAGCTTATAATACTTTAAATACTTATTTAACATAGTAGCAAGCATTAGTATCTGGTAGGCCTTGTTTTTATTTATGCTAATGAATTATATTATTCAAAGTTAATTAGATTTTCTGCATATTTCAATAATAATTTGTATTACTAAATACTATTGTAATTGTTTCATAAAAAATAATATTATAATCTTTTTTTTCTCAGAAACCATGGAGGCCCCTGACTTCAAAGAATTTGCAAAAGCAATGACTGATTACATTGCTGAGTACTTGGAAAATATTCGTGACAGGTATGTAAATTATACATTTAATACTATATTTAAACTACTACTACAGTAACTAATTTTCATAATTTTGGCAATGGTCATTATATCTGTTTTGTAGTCCAACTATCTTGCTGAAAATAAGTTTTTTATTACTTAAGAAAGCAAATTAGAACATTAGATTATTTTGCGTGTAAAATTCATAAGTTAAATGACGCACAGAAGCCTCTTATTATTAGAACTATAATTTATTATTATTTAATTTTATGACTGGCTATTTATAATACAGATATAAGGTTACCACCGAAAGTCAAGACAAGTATGTGGCGTTTTTTATCTTGATTGTCATATTATGATTGTAGTATTATGAGCCGTTCTATTTCTGCAAATAAATCATTGAGACTTCTACTTCATAATTCACGGTGTGATCGAAGGCCAAGATAGCCGCTGAATAAATGAATGGGCAGTCAGCTATCTTGCCTAATGAACTAGGTGGTATAATAATTTTTATTGACCCTAATAAATGAAGATGTGTAAGTAAGATAAATGCTTACATACATTGTTTTCTGTTGTTCAATAAATATATACGTATATCCGTACATATTAGTTAAATCGGATGAAAGCAAACAGTTCGCGTCAAATGTTATTAGTGTTTTTATTTATTGTGCTGAATCTGAAGATCGGCGCGAAAATAACAATTCAGTAAATATTTTATATCAAATTAATATTGTTTTTTTTTAGTCGAAAAGTGTTAATGGCCAGATCAACATTTGATTATTTATAATTGATTGGCACAGTATGTTTTGCGTGTCTAATTAATAAGTAAGAGAAAAAAGATGTGTGATATCGTGGAACACCGGATAGAAACAAAGTTCCTTATTATAAAAATATTAATTTTAAGTTCTATTCGAGGTATAAAGAAAATAAAACTGGAGGCTTCGCAACAACCCACGGTCATTCGGTAACGTGTGAACTTACTGTGGTACACTTCATTCACGGTTGTTTGCATAAGAGTTAGTGTATTGCGCAAACGAACGCTTTGAGATCGTGGTCAATGAATGATAAAAAAATATGTAATTTTTTGTACGTTATTACAAAGTTAAGTCGTACACTGTGTGCATTACTAATTTGTACGTTATTACAAAGTGAAATCGTACACTGTGTGCATTACTAATAAAAATCTTACGTTACGGACATTTTTTCTCGGTTAGGGTACCCCTCCGCATCGTCCCATAACAAACTTCGTTCCAAAAAACAATTCAAAAATCAATTTATTATATTAAGAAACTCAAGTACTTTTCAGACAAGTTGTTCCGTCAGTAAAACCTGGCTACCTTCGACCGTTAGTTCCGGAACAAGCACCGCAACAACCGGAGCCTTGGACTGCGGTGATGGCGGATATCGAGCGCGTGGTTATGTCCGGGGTCACCCACTGGCACTCGCCTCGGTTCCACGCCTACTTCCCAACCGCTAACTCGTATCCCGCTATAGTAGCAGACATGCTCAGCGGCGCCATCGCTTGCATTGGTTTTACTTGGGTAATATTGAATTCTAAAACATTTTTTTTATTTCACTAGCATACAATCAAGGAGATTATTTTGTAACGCAATAGCAATTTGACTCAATGTGAAAGTGTGTCTGTTGGTTTGTCCTTCTTTCATACAGAAACGGAGTTATGGATGGATTATTTTGCATATAGGTAATAAGTTTACAAGGTTTTTAAAAGAGGAAGTTGCCTATTCGCAATCGAATCCGTTTTTAATAAGAAAAATTGGTACCTCTTCTTAGAATTGCAATACTGGTCTGCTCGAATACAAGTGATTTACTATAAAGGACAAATTACTATTAATCTCTGCCTACTGCACTACTAAACACTTTCTGCCTATTTTTGCTGTGAAGTAATTCTGCGTACCGATTTCAAGGATTGCGACAGTCGTTATGTAATACATTTGAGACATCAACCTCATGTCTCAAGGTGAGTGGCGACAGTCGCGTTGTGGTATGTATGGGAACATCTATGTGATATCTATAGAAACACAATATCCATTTATACAATAAATAAAAATAACAATAACGGTGTATTAAACGTACAATAGAAAGTCAAATCGTGCGGACTTAGTTGACTTGCTGAAAACGAAATCATATTCACCAGTCCACCTTGACCGGAGCTAGGATTAAATTGAGCTAAAACGTTTGTTATCGTTTCATAGCTTCTAGTGAATAACAACGTTTACAAGTACCTTAATAATTATGTATTATAATACTTAATGTATTATTTGTGATTATTACAAAAAAAATTGCATATTAATGATTTATCTGGTATTAATGAATCCTAGATTAATTCTTTGTATTTAATGAAAATAATATTCTACATAAAATCGAAAATATTCTTAATTGTTTTGTTTTTGTAAATTTTTCTCTTGCCCACGAACTTTAATAATTTCAAGATTGAGAATCAGAATTAATTGAGAGGAACAAGATAGCAAACATTTTAAGGTACTTGAGTAACAGTAATATACATTAGATTATCATCAGATCAAGTTAAACGATAGTCAATTATAAGATACATTTAAATAATGCATGTAAGTCTGTAGCTATCTGAACCACAATCATGGTTATTGTGTTTCCTTGTAAACCACAACTCTTTAGTTTCTAATATAAAGCAAAGTCAATGTCAATGATACACAGCTTGAAACACGAACAAGGAAAACCTGTCAACCTGTATGATATTTTATTGATTCATAATACATGGAAATGTACATGTGTAGCAAATTCTAGTTAAGAAGTAGGTATAGAATAAGTTAGGTTCTACGGTGTGTATGAAATTCCAAACAAAGGTTTCTAAACAATCAAAAATGCGTTCTAATTTTATTAATACATTTTACAATATTGTTTTGCACTGTACTTAGTGTACGCAAAAAACAAATGAGGAGTTCACATGTTTTTTACGATATACCACATTAATTTTTTTCGCGGTATTATGTCAGGTAGTCAATAGTGGAAATCCGTCCAATCCAGGAAATATTACAGCCAAACGATATCGTATTTTTTTGAAAATAATTACTTCAACCGTTTTGGAAAAAAATATTGATAGCAAATTTAAAAATAAAATTATACATTAACTTCGCTACAAATAAGTATTACTGTTTTACCAGTAAGGCGAATCGTATTTTTGTCTGTATACCTAGGTCCTGCCTATTTCTGCTGTGCAAGCTATGTATGCTTTATGATTTAAAAAACAGACATTACTCATGCAGTGTTTGACCAACCTCATTCATAAATTCCTAAAGCGGCATTATAATATAGGTATATTGGCAACATAACGCCCTAAAACCTATACGCCTATAAAAACGTTAAAAAACCAATTTCGTCGTTTAATATAATTAATTTCATTGTAATTGAAAAACGATTTCATTTTATTTAGATTGCTAGCCCGGCATGTACAGAGTTGGAAGTGGTTATGTTGGATTGGTTGGGTCAAATGCTTGGCCTGCCAGAAGAGTTCTTGGCGCGATCAGGTGGCGAGGCCGGCGGTGTAATCCAGGGCACGGCTAGCGAAGCTACTCTTGTCGCACTGCTAGGAGCCAAGTCTCGCATGATGCAAAGAGTCAAGGAACAACACCCTGAATGGAGTGACACCGATATATTATCCAAGCTCGTCGGCTATTGTAATAGTAAGTTTAATTTGATGAGTACTTTTGCAAAAGAAAATGAGGATCTGCTTAGTGTTGTTAAAAAGATAAGTCAAGATGAATTTAATCCATTGTATTTTGGCTGAAAGATACAAGATACCTACTTGTAGCCATGCGCGCAAACTTGTGATGAGGCTTTTCACTAGTATTCTTCACTTCAATTTCTCATTATATTCTTTTATATCGATTCAATTAAAAAAATGTGTTTAGTCCGATGACGTTATAACATTTTTCTTATTACCTGTATTTCGTTACAGAACAAGCCCATTCTTCGGTGGAGCGAGCTGGACTCCTCGGCGGTGTTAGGCTAAAATCACTACAGCCAGACGGTCAACGTCGTCTTCGCGGAGACACTCTTCGTGACGCTATTGATGAAGACATCCGCAACGGTCTCATTCCATTCTATGTAAGTTTTTTTTTTCATTTCCGTTGTACGCAGACGAGTATACAAGGCCTATCGCCCATGGACACTCCGGTTATCGTTTTCGTCGAACCCGTCGCTTGCGACGAAGGGCTCGACGAGTAAATTAATCCATAGACACAGCCCACTGAATTTCTCACCGGATCTCCTCAGTGGGTTGCGTTTCCGATCCGGTGGTAGATTATGCGAAGCACGGCTCTTGCTAGGATTCGTGTTAGCAACGTCGTCAGGTTTGAGCCCCGTGAGCTCACTTACATATTAGGGCGAAGCTGAAATAGCCTCTCAAGGCTATCAGCATAGGTAGGGGAAAAAAATCGTGGACACAAGCATAGCCAAGGCGATGTCTACTGCGAAATTTAGAAATAAAATACCCAATGCTTTAATCTAAACAAAAAATACTTCTATTTTCAAATCCAAGTGCATAAGATTGGTAGTTTCATATTTCATTGGCCCACAAGTTATCTTAAATAAGAATTAGGGGATCAATAAACACGCAGTCTATATACGTTGTTCCCTTTTCGGTCTCGGGAACACGCGAACGGCGGCAAACGCACACTGTATGAAACTACGAGTAATTTTTACTTTGTTGTTAGCACATTTGACAACATAGCTCGTAGTGAAGTAGGTATTCGTATTATACAAGCACTAGCGGCCCGCTCCGGCTCCGCTCGGGTCTTTAACAAAAATTTCAACGATATTTGACGTTGTTTTTTTTTTTAATAAAAGGACGCTTATAAGAACGCTAAGAACTATAATAGTTAGACATATGCTGCCGCGACGCTTTTTGTAAATAATGTGTTCTAAAAGTCGTAGTACATATTATTCTATCATCAATAGTTTTCGCAGGGCACGCGATGTAAAGAATATTTTAGGTAATTTTTTTACAGCTTGGGTTATATTTTTTGAGTTTTAGTAAGGATCCCTAATTTTTTTTAAAAAAAATTATAGCCTATGTCACTCGAGAATAGTGTAGCTTCCAAACAGTGAAAGAATTTTTCAAATCGGTTCAGTAGTTTCGGAGCCTATTCAATACAAACAAACAAATCTTTTCTCTTTATAATATTTGTATCTATTAGTATAGAAGTATGTATAGATAACTCATACGCGTTAAATGTGTACTTTCAGACAGCATAATTCATACTTTCAATAATTCATTAATACAAGAATTACACACATTCCAGGTTGTTGCTACATTGGGTACAACTTCATCCTGTACATTCGACGCTCTTGACGAAATTGGAGATGTCTGTCTCTCACATGGAATTTGGCTTCACGTCGATGCCGCCTACGCTGGATCTGCTTTCATCTGCCCTGAGTATCGATACCTTATGAAAGGCGTTGAGAAAGCGGATTCATTTAATTTCAATCCTCACAAATGGATGCTGGTCAATTTTGATTGTTCAGCAATGTGGTTGAAACAGCCACGATGGATCGTCGATGCTTTCAACGTTGATCCTCTTTACTTGAAACACGACCAGCAAGGCTCAGCGCCAGATTACCGTCATTGGCAAATACCGTTGGGCCGCAGATTCAGAGCGCTGAAGTTGTGGTTCGTTTTGCGATTATACGGTGTTGAGAACTTACAAAAACACATCAGAAAACAGATCGCATTGGCCCATCTGTTCGAGAAGCTTTGCACTTCAGATGATAGATTCGAGTTGTTTGAAGAAGTCACTATGGGTTTAGTGTGTTTCAAACTCAAAGGAAGCAATGAAATCAATGAAGAACTATTACGCCGTATAAACGGACGTGGAAAAATTCATCTTGTCCCATCTAAGATCGATGATGTCTATTTCTTGAGATTGGCTATTTGCTCGCGTTTCTCCGAAGAAAGCGATATACATATTTCTTGGGAAGAAATAAAATCGAGTGCTGACGAAGTTCTTAAAAGCCAAAAGAAGTAAATAGTAGTCTCATAGCAAAATAATTTTGAGCTTTCCTATTAGTATTTATTCATAATTACAAAGATACATTAATATGTAATCTTTTTAAATTACTATATTATATACCTTACATACACACTAGTAATTGCATTGTTTAGAAATATTCTTTAAATTAATACGATTGTTATAATTTTTTTTTTTAAATATATTGCAATGAGATCTATTACGTTCAATTCGAGCGTATGTAGGTAATTATCATTGCGCATGAATATCAGCAATATCCGGGACATAGCCGAGTCATGTTAGCTCTTCTAGACCTCGATTGAAGCATATGCTCTCAGGTGCACTCTCCCAATAAACGTATTTTTTTTAAACTGGACGGTGGAAACACTTTCTACAAATTCTGGTTTGATGAAGGATGGCATTTAATGAAGGAGAACTGTGGTCTCCGATGGCCAGATGTTACCAATGGTCGGTTATGTATCGAAAATCGAATGATCCGTTTGTGAATGAAGCTTCGATTGTTGATCGAAGGTATTAAGTCGAATGGAAGTTTCCGGTACTTAAGATGACCCCGCCCATGAAGATTATTTTTTTTAATTATAGCAATAATTGAAGTAAAACAACACTTGATATCCGCATTATATTGCAAAATACGTAAAATAATGTGATTGTATGTTATGCTTGTGATATAAAATAATTTTAATAATAAGTAAAATTGAAGTACTCTTGTTTTAGTTAAAAAAATACTGTTGTGAAAATTGTGTATTAACATAGGCATATCTGTTTACATATTTAAAGAAATTTTGAAAAATTATTTATTGCTTTAAAAATTCATGTTTGCGTGATTTGTTAAAAGTGTTAAAAGTAAATTTGTTAACTGAAATGTTTTTACGTTGTTGTTGCTTAAATATATAGAAATTTTAAACATAAATTTTGGCTGTATTTAGTGAAACGATACTTTTTTGTTTTATTTTCTTCATTTAATTAACCAAACACCATATAATATTGTAATGAAATTACTTAAGCTTGAAAAACTCTTTGAATACATATTATTATGGTTGGACATACTCGTAATTACATATAGCTTTATTAAAGCTGTTATTTCGTCACGCTTCACATTAAGATATATTATGTCATTTTATTGCCATAGAGGCAGACATTCGAACATACGGCCTACCACATGGAACCATGTCACGGCCGCAGTCACCGAAGTTCATAGACATTACCAATTCCAGTGGCACAGCTAAATTTCTGCCTACTGGTGAAGATTTTTTCTAAATTAGATTGATGAAGGACATGACCAGTGGGCTTAGTGTGAGTTTTTTAACGTTCTCGATATCACAAAAGTTAACTCAAATTTGTATGGAATTGGAACGATTGCCTACATTTGTCGCTAGGGGCGCTGTTCCAACTGTAGGTATATAGTTAACTTTTAGGCTATCGAGAATGTTAAAAAATTTGCACTTAGCACACAGCTCATCTTGATTTCTCAGAGAATTCGGTATGAAACGTAAGGTGATCTTTTTATGTATAGATTCAAATGGGAGTGCTTGCAGTATTCCACGTGACGCTGAACTTGTGCTTTATGAAACATAAGTATTTGTGTACATCTATAGCTTCTACTGTTTCGTTCTTTTGAGCAATTCCAACACTTTCCTAATAACATCGACGCTGAATGACGCTCCAAATATTGACCTTAATAGATACTCGCGGTCGTTTGCTTTAACATGAAAGGGAGACCTTTCTTTAATTTGACTTTTTTAAATTTGATGAATCCGTAAGGACGTGTCTGGGGCGACCACGGTGACTTGCTCCTGCGTGATCAGGATTCGGGGAGTAGTCAGCGGCGGCAACAATAAGGCGATTATCATGACACAGCCTTGTCGAAGTAACGTTCCGACGCGGGCTTCGTGTATTTTCGGATCGATTCGAGGTCCAAGTCGTCGTGTAAGTCGACGTTCCTCACGAACCTCGGAGCTCCGACGGCTAACCTGCAAAAACTAGATTGTAAAGATTGGAGGGTGTCTATGTCAGCGAACACCACACTCACGTGAGTTATGACGGGCCTTATGCAAGTTTTGTAAAGTGTCTCCTTGTTCCGAAGGGACATTTTACTCCGCTTAGAGATCATAGGGTAGAATTAATAAACTGTAATGTCCGAAAGTTTGTAAGTTCTATAAAATCCATACTAATGCTATAAATGCGAAAGAGACACCACAAAGTAACAAGCAAGCAAGCATGACGACTTCAGTATAAAACCGATTTTGAAATTTTGCATGTACATTACAGCCAGAAAAGAAAATAGTAACCAAAGGACTGCTTCTTTCCTAAATTAACCCAAGTGAAGCCTTGAGTAAAAGCTATCTGATAAGTATAACAAAACTACAATTCTAAGTAATTTATTTCTTTTCACGATCTATGAGTCACCTGTCACATTTATAAGATAGATGATATGCCAGAAGTTTTCAAAATTCAGTAGTGACATTTTATTTTTTATTTATTTAAATGGCTGTGAAATAGTAATCAAGATGAAATTATCTCGTGTTAAACTTATAATATGGCAAACATTTTCTAGATTGTTAAGCGAATCTAATAAAAAAAGGCTAGTTTGCAATGCTGTGAATACGTCATCATACCGACTCTACAGTGGCTCTGTGGCTCCTGGTCAAGAGCAGTGTATCTTAGACTCTTGCAGTATCAGTCCGACTTGTCAGGAACCAAGGGTGATAATTGTAGGTGCGGGAATGGCAGGACTTTCAGCGGCACACCGGTTAACTCAATGTGGGATTCGTAATTTTGTAGTCTTGGAGGCGAAAGAGCGGTTTGTATCTCCGTTTTAATGCTTTTACTCTTCCTTTTGATTCGCATCTATTGTGGCAGGTGCGGGAGGAATATTACGACTGGTTAGGTTAAAAGGAAAGGAACTGGATGAGAGAAGCCGAGGATCGTGCTCAGTGGCGAACAATTGGTGAGGCCTATGTCCAGCAGTGGACTGCTATAGGCTGATGATGATGATGATGATGAAGTTAAAATTATATCAAAATATCCTATTTCGTATCCTCTTTTCCTTTGACTCCGATATCAGTAAGTAGATGGCGAGTTCAAAATCATGATCCACGGTTTCCGTAAGCCAAGGCTTAGGTAGTATGTTAAGTAAAACTACTTCTATTGTACGAAAGACGTTTGTAAATTTTCTGTAAATGACATGTGGATGTGGATGAATTCTTCTGAAACCTCCTCTTTCGAGTAAGACGTGTTATGGAATTATTGTAAAAGAGAATTCAGGTTATACTGTCTATAAAGATTCAGCGGTTCCAGTTAGTACGAATGAACAGTGGCGATTAGTCACGTCCTCAAAGGAGAAGACGAGATCATTTAATTCCTCAGAGCACTCCTGCGCATTATTAATTATCTAAATAATATCTACTTACTAAATACTCCCTAAAGTTTTGCTATCTGAGCATTTATTAGTTCTTCTTTAATTTTGTCTTTAGTTACCATTACGCTTTTACAGACCTGGTGGAAGAATACATTCATGTTGGCTTGGTGATGCAGTTATTGAGATGGGTGCAGAATGGATATCTGGAGCTTGTTTACCGAATTCTGTCTATACTCTGGCATCGCAGGACAGACTGTTGCAGACACCTTTACAGAGGTTAGACTCGTCGCGTGGTTTATTCTGTACAAGCGAGGGACGTGCAGTAGATTTACCTGTGACAATCACGGCATATCATACCTTCCGACAAATTGAACAGCAAGCCGCAAATTTGTTTAGATTAGGTGGTGAGAGACAACATGGCACCTTGTTGAATTTCATTGGACTAAGAATACAACAAGAATTGCATAATTTCCCAGAAGACCAAAGATACGACGCTGCGCGTGTCATGTTTGGGTTGACAAATATTTTACGTAATAAATGCGGAGATGATCTTTCTTTAGTAAGTGCGGACCAGTACGGTAGCTACATTGAATTACCGGGGGGAAGCGTTCGCGTTCCACTTGGCTATGTGGGAGTTTTAGCACCTTTATTACGTGGCCTTCCAGATAATTGTATTAGATATTCTAAGCCCGTGAACGTCGTCCGCTGGGGTACTGGTCAAGCAGAAAATGGCCGTGTACTCGTGAAATGCTGTGATGGTGAAGAAATAGTAGCGGACTACGTTATTTTAACGTTGTCCTTGGGTTGTCTCAAATGCCAAGCTGATAAATTGTTTGCTCCACCCCTTCCAGTGTGCAAACTGGACGCCATTTGTAATTTAGGTTATGGACTTAGCAATAAAGTATTTTTGGAATACGGCGAGCCCTTTTGGGTATGCCACGAAGGTAATTTGAAATTGGCTTGGTCAGCTGAAGAATTACAATGTAGATCTGATTGGACTCAGGGAGTATGTTCCATAGACGAAATGCCGGGAAGTAAGCATGTACTCTGCGCTTCGATTTCTGGACAAGAAGCGGCTCTGATGGAATCTATGGCAGATAATGACGTAGCCGAGGGATTGACAATGTTGCTAAGAAGATTCACAGGGAATCCATGCCTGCCATACCCACAGATGATGCTAAGATCTAAATGGGCTTCTGATCCACATTTTTGCGGATCGCATTCTTATATGAGTTGTTGTTCTACTGTTAGTCAACAGTGCGAGCTCGGGACACCGGTCCCGGGGCCCTGTGATCCACAACCTCCAATACTTTTATTTGCGGGTGAGGCAACGGTGCCTGGATATTTTGGAACTGTACACGGCGCACGCTTAAGTGGCATCCGTGAAGCTGAACGCATTATACAATTGACTAAAAAATTCGAAGGTCCTCCACGTTAGCGGAATTTGAATAGTAGTGCGATATGGTTACTTCCGTAAATTATATCGTGTGATGTGTGTTTCTATATAACTTTGTTTACATACCTATAATATGTTTAGTTTAATTTTTTTTACAAGCTACTGTCGTCCTCATATTTTATTCAACTTCAAATAAATTGTATTATAAATATATTGAGTTTTCTGTTTAAAACAAAATTGAAATTGTATTTTGCTTTGAAAACGAATGTCAAGTCAGTAAGCTTAAAACATTTTAAGAAAAACATATTTTCAGGATGCCTATATAATTCGTAAATAATGAACATTAAATGAGTACAGATGTTTTATTTTTATAAATTAATTTAATGAGATTCGCCTATTGTGAATTTAATTAAGAATAAATTAATGAAGAAGGCAATACACAATTTAGTCTTTAGAATTGTTAGTACAAAAAAACGCTGAATGAAATTAATACATCAGTAGTTTCTTTATTACCAGAACTCTTAAACTAAATTAATACTACTTCTATACCCCTATCACCTTGTACAGTGTTAATTGCACAATACTTGTTTTGATAACTGAGGTAATTTTGTAGCATTTAGTTACAAGCAAAACTTTAATCCTGCAAGATAACTACCACTAAAACTAGTACCCGTATTCACTGGCATATCATCAAATTCAAACAAAATTTTATGACCACAGTACCTCAAAAACTTATCTCTGAATTCTACTACATATGTATAGGTGGGAAGGACATTGTGAGGCCAAGTGAAACTTATTTTGTACCACATCTCTTTTTGTAGGTACCAGGGTTCATTTAAATCAATATCTACAACAGTATCATATTCTACAGTGTTCATGAAATTGGTGTTTTTTATGATACTACTATCTGATTCACACATGATCGAGACAGATAGCTGTTCAGAATACACCCTTGTTTTGTTGTTGTGAACATAAACTGCTGGTGCCATTCGAGTTGGGACACAGAGTGAATTAATAAATACAGACTTATTAGCTTTTACACGACAATTCAGAATGAAGTTTGGTGTGTCTATAATAATAGGAGCCATAGATCTTATTGAACTCCGATAACAAGAATACCACTGCAATTTCAATGTTTTTCTTCTTATGTTTGAAACTGCATTTTCTGCATCATTATCGTTTGTTTTGGCAGTATTCTTAATTTGTTTCTCTATCTTTTCATATTCATACTGTGTGATTATCTTGTCTGAATATATTTCATGCAATTCAACTACGGACAAAGTCTTGAAACGTAATAAATCAAATAATTCTAAATTTATTAGTATCCTTTGTTTATTTTCAAATGTTATAGGAATATTTTCCTGTTCACAATAATTAGCAGCCCATTCAAATATAAATTTTATCAGGTCCTTTTCAGTTATATTTATTTCATCACTCTGGAGTACAGTCTTCAAACAAAGGGGACTAATGACTTGAATATGTCTTTGAAATAAATAGTATGCATGAGCACAGAACAAATTCACAGCATATGTTGTGAGCTGTTTGTCATGCATGTAGTCTGGATAATTCAATACTTCAATGACATTGTCAATGGTGACGTTTTCTTTAATGTATTCAATGCATGTTTTAGTCAAATGTTCCAGTAAGTATTTCCTTGAAGCATACAGTAGGTCGAATGCTTGCTCAATACTAGTTATGTCTACATTGTCTGTATAGATATAATTAAGTATTAGCTGAAATATTTCTGGTTCTATATCAGGGATATGAATATCATTATTATTTGAAAGTGGACCATACAACATGGCTTCAAAAACTGGGCTACTGATACCTAGTATTAGTTTGTGTGCTTTGAATTTCTTTCCTGAGACACAAAAATTACAGTCACTCCATTCATAAGATACTAACAGTTTCTTAATGCGGTCATATAAACTTGCTCGGTTGTTGCACGAATTTTCGTTTTTCAAATACCCCATCTGAAAATATCAAAAAAAAAGTTATAACATTGCTTATTTTCAGTTTTATCACCTAAATTAATTATTCCCTGACTCATCATCATATCTAGTAACGTTATGTACATACCGCATTTAAAGTTCTTCTTAATTAAAGCAACTATAAATTCAAATCAATGAAAAAGTATTTATGAATTACAACATAACTGAATTAACTAATATTTGTGATGTTACCATATTATTATTATCTCTATAAACAAAGACTTTTCTGGAGCAATTTTTACGTTTAAAATTAAGCATACCTTGAACTTGATGATCCAAGAACCAAGGGCACGAATTATGTCAGGATTTTATGCCTGTATATCGGTTTTATCACTTCAAATTAATTTAGGATGTAGTAAATGTAGCTAAATTTAGAGTAAACTTGAAACCTGATAATTTAGTTAATAACGGATCTTAAACTAATCGCGTGATCACCAAATCCAAAGTACCGCTATCTGATTTGGTCATCCAACAAGAAGCGCTATGCGCATGTTTGCAAACAAAAAACGTACCGTACATAACTACCCATAGATTATACACTTAATATGTAACTACCTACATACTACATAGGTACATAGGTACATACACACAATTTTTTTAAAGGGATTTCATGACCTGGTAAATAAAACCTTTAGGTCATGTCTTATTTGAATTTATATTCATATCTATATGAAAAATGATAATATAGAGTGAAATGAAATGAAATGAAAAGAAGATGATTAATTTGAGAAATCAACTGGGATGATACTAAATGAAATGAAATGAGATAATATGGGATGAAATATAATCTCAGTAAAATGGTGGCCATTTACTGAGATTTTTTCAGTAGACTCTTTGGAGGATCCCGAGAAGTTACATCCAGTGGCTTTGTTTTATTTTCCCACATTTTTGCACTTTCACAGATATTAAACAGCTAATAAACCATTGTTACTATACATTTAAAACTGAAGAAACACTAAATAGAAAAATAAAACAAATGACACAACTACAATCCTTGCGTTCCCGCCAAAAAGTCACAATTTGTGTGTTGATTTATTTAAGAGATTCGTCTTCGTAAATCTATACTATATATTATTCGATTTTTTGGACAAATGGACGTGCTAAGAATACATACCTAGTTAAAATATTTGGAACCATGTCTTATTTTAGAGAAGGGAAATGAAAACTGATTGATTTGCATAATAATCATTTACGAATTAAATGTAATGGTGAGATCAGACGGCAATCAAAACTTTCCCAAGTAAAAATATTGGAATTTACATAAAAAGAACGCAAGTTATCAAATAAAAAAAAATATATATAATGGCCATTAAAGCGAGCAGAATGTACATAGTTGTAATATAAATTATTAGTTAAACAGGTAAAGTGAAGACCTCCAAGTATAACAAGCAAACTAAGGGAGTTTTGTCTTTTATGGCTATCTGTTATTTCGACATAATTAGAACTTCGGAGGATGATTTTATCATATTTTTTTTACGAAAATATTTCTTATGAAAACAAACAATGTCTTATTTACTGTGTGAGACGAATCATCAAAGTCAAAAGTTATTGTTCTAATTTCCTTATCAGACCCACTATGTATTTTTTACATAAATAATAGACAGCATTTGAAATTGAGGCGATTACAACACTACCGTTCGGTGCTAAATGTGATTGCTATGTCGTTCTGTCGAAATACTGATCTACAATGAATTAATGTTTTGTAGTGAATTGTGAGTTTGAGTGAGAAGGATCAAATCTGATCAAAAAGTTTATGTATTCCTATTGAAAGTGATATTATGTTTTTTTTAAATTTTTGGTTTTACCATTTTACTGAGACCTCATCTCGTATCATCTCATCAACGAGATCATCCGATCATCCGTTAATTTCATCCGAATTGATTAATGTGTCAAATTAATCGACTCCATTTCATTTAGTACCACATATTTTTTCAAAACCAAAATAAATTCAAAAAATATACAAAAGATTGGGCTGCATGGTATGTGTGATACCTACGCATTTCCAGTTGAAAAAGTGGACTACTAATTGGTTCTTTTGACACATGTTATACGAATCAGAAATGTCATTTGTATTATGTTTGCGCGCCGGTCTTTTTCGTTCCACAACAATTTTGCCAAAAAATTCAGTAATTTAAAATGTTGGTAACGTGACAATTTATAGTTAAATTCACTGAAAACCGTTCCTTAAAATGGCTTCAACTTTTAATGAGTCAATGTTCGATTTTGATTTAAATTTTCTTCATCCAACGACACCGAGTGATGGTCAGGTTAGTTTTTCCATGCAGGTTTTATTATAATATTTTTTTTTTTAATTTACATTAAGTCGAGAATTATATCCAAAACCAAAAGACATCATAGGTTATTGAGTTTGTCATTTATAAGTTTTAACAACCACACAAGTTACATTAAAAATGTACTAATTTTGTTAGTAAATTGTCGAATGTCAACAAAGACCATGAATTAACTGCATTTTATGAAATGTTAACTACATTTCAATTACATTTAAATAACAATAACTACGGCTTCGTTTTAAATTTGTAATAAAGTAAATTTTTATTATTATTTTGTTATCAACCAAAAATATTCAGTTGATTAACCCTAATTCACTGTTTGGTTTCAGATTTACTTGAAATTGTTATTAAATTCCATAGTTTTATGATAAATTTATTTTCAGATTAATAAGTTCGAAAAGCAGAGGAAAGCCATTTTAATAGTTAAAAAGAAAACAATAGCCACAGAGTAAGTATTCCATTTACAATATTTTTTTAACTTCACTGAACAACTGATCTGCCTGATCAAATAAATTTAATTATTTTACTGTTTACCTATAATAAATCACTGTGAAATAGTTTTTATCTAATGAAATATAAGGAAATTTTAACAAAATATAGTTCTTTGGCACATTAAATGAAATGAAAAGTTTCTGAATTGACTTTTAAAACTTTTTTTGCAGTATGATCATTTCTGAGAAATACTCTATATAGTGATGGATTAAGGCTTGATGCCGCCCTAGCCTCTGTTTATCAGGCCTACATTAATGTTAGAATAAATTTTATTAATTTTGATCCAATATTTTTATTTTAAATTTAAAATAACTACATTTTTTTTATCAAAATTAATCTGATCTCCTTTTCAAAGGAGACCGCTTATACTATTTTGTCTCTGGCATTTCAAAAATCTTACTGCCCCTCTAATCATGCCACCCTGGGCTCGAGCCTAACAGGCCTAGGTGTAAATCCATCACTGACTCTATACACTGTCCAGACAACGATCGGTAGTGGTCAGTTCGGCACAGTCATCAGAGTTCAGGTTTGAGAAAGGCATGTGCCAGGGATACATTGTCTTACCCATGCTTTTTAACGTCTATGACTAAAACATGAGCGTTTCCATCTTCAATGAGCTGAAAATTTACCAGAGGCTATCCACCATATGCCTTAATAATGTGCTCCAGTATTTTGATCATTTAGCAAGAAAACCCTATAACAATTTGGGGAGACTCATAGTGATGGGTAAAATGGATTGAAACTGATCTAGGAGTGTCAAATGGGATAGATGGAGTGAGTAAGTCTGTGCACTTAGACATGAGACTGCACTGACCACTGACTGACATAAGTGGGTAGAGATTACACAAAAGGTCTCAGCCTGCCTGATGCATTGTAATGCTCAGCATTTACCAATTCCAATTAGAGGAGAACCAGAATGATCTTTTTAATCTATTACTTGGCTTTAGGTTTTAATTTATTTATATCAGATTTATATAGGAAACATTTGAAGTCAATATCCTTATTCATCAATCTAATTTTATTATAAATCCATTAATAATATTCTCATTTTTATTTGTAAGGTTTCAAAATTAGAATCTTGTTTCAGTTCTCTAATAAAAAAGTACTATGAAAAAAAAGATCTATTGGACCAAACAGAAAAGAGCCTCCTCACGTCGAAAGAAGAGTGTAAACAGATATGTATTGACTATAGGAAATCAATGGAAACTTGTTCTAAATTAGAAAATGTAAGTAAATTTTTGTCACTTTTAATTCAATTTATAATCGAAGACATGCGTGGATGAAGGGGATTCGATACAATTTGTTAATTTTGAGAAAACGGGCAACATACTTTAGTTACTTGTACTTTTTCTTCTTACATAACTTCTTCATAACATGCAATTTCTAAAAATAGTCTTTAAATCTGGAGTATAAAGGTCTAATGTGGTTTATAGGGACATGGCATCTTCATTCAATGTATAAACTCAAAAATCTTAAAAATGGTATATAACCCCTATATCCACTCATGTAAATTATGAAAAAACTTGTAGTGCTTAATATAAAGGCACTTAAACATTGTATGACAGCTACTTATTTTTATTAATGTACATGATAACTGACATAGCAATAAATATTTATGAATTGCATATATTTAACTTTGAATAACAAAAGTGAACATAATATTCCAGGATATGCAGATCTTGCAGAATGTTAACAAAGGACTTGAAAGTAAATGTTTTCAAGCAGAAAATCAGTATGCCGCTGCAACATCCTTAACACATCAACTCCAGGCAAGTAACTATAATTATGTTAAGACCGACAGCTGGCGATAGGAAATCAAGTCTCATATGTATTTGATGAAAGGTGCCTCACCATTCAAAACATAATGGACTGTTTACTGACAGAAATAGGCAAGATTGTGATAGTATCTAGTGTAGGCAAATGATTTGCCTTTCACAAGATATTTTATTCATTTCCTATAATTTAATATATTTTATACAGTTTACGAAAAAATAAACATAACATACTAGGGCTAATGCCACATATCCTACCATTCAAAAGCTTGGAAATGCTAAGGGAATTTAAATAAAAATGTCATTAAAACACATAAGTCATTATTTATTACACTTAAATCTGAAAGAAACATTAAATTATCATGTAGTAAAATATATTTAGTGCATAAATAATAACTTATAATACTTTTCTTAAAATTTTTGCTTCATCAAGATGTCCCCTTTAAATTTTAATTATTTGTATACAAATTTTACTCATTCTTTTGATCAATGTACTAAAATATTCGGAGACCATTAACTTCCATTCATTTTGTAATTATTTCTAAAACTTTGCTGAGCTTGATGGACTTATGGATTCTTAACTTTTATGTCCAGCTCATCCCATACTAATTCGATGGGAGAGAGATCTGGCGACTGTGATGGACATATTTTCATAACTTGACGACATAACTGTTTGTCGAACCTCTGACAAAATTTTACTGAATGTTTGGGGTCATTGTCTTATTGGAAAACAACATTTTGGCCAATTAATTCCAGAAGGGATCGCATTTATACTGAAGTATTTCCAGATAATGTTCTTTATTCAGTTTGCCGTATTTTTTTATCCAATGGCCCGGCCATTATTTATTCATTACCAAAACATCCCTAAATCATTACGCTACCACCACCAAGCTTAATAGTAAGCACAATACACGCTTCTGAAACCGTTTCTTTTTTTGACCGGCGCACAAAACACGTCTCCCACGAGACACGATCCAGAATCTGAAATTTGGACTCGTCCGTCTAAAGGACTTTTTCAAGTCTTCCGGTCTATTTTTCTCATGAATACTAGTTAGTCTCGGTTTTTTGGCTGCTGCGCATCCTCTGAGTCCAGCCACAGTACACATCTCTTTACAGTTTTAAATGAAATTGGCTTTTCTCATGTTTCATTTGAAATAGCGGCGATTTGGGGCGCAGTCAAACGTCGATTTGGTTTCGATATATTTTAACGAACCATCTTCCTGCTTTGTGGTAGATTTGGGGCGTCCAGATCTCTGCCTGTCTTGATTTACTCCAGTGTTTCGTTTTCGTGTTAGAGTTTAATATACACCTTTACATGAAACACCGCCCTTTTTTGCAATTTGCCGTATAGAATATCCTTTCTTGCTCAAAGTTTTTTATTGTTTACATGGGTGGACGAGCTCACAGCCCACCTGGTGTTAAGTGATTACCGGAGCCCATAGACATCCATAACGTAAATGCCGTCACCCACCTTGAGATTTGTTTCTAAGTTTTTTATTTATTGCTTAGATGGGTGGACGAGCTCACAGCCAACTTAGTGTTAAACGGTTACTGGAGCCCATAGACATCTGTAACGTAAATGCGCCACCCACCTGGAGATATAAGTTCTAAGGTCTCAATATAATTACAACGGCTGCCCCACCCTTCAAACCGAAATGCTTTACTGCTTCACGGTTAAAATATGAATTTCCATTTCTTGTATATTCCATATCTCTATATTTAATACGTGAAGCAAAAACTTTGTATCCCTTTTTACGAAAATTGCGCGGACGGAGGAGTATGAAATTTTCTACACTTATAGAGAATATAGAGAAGAAGCGCACAATGCTAATTTTTTTTTTAAATAATGCATAAAAGATACATTAAATCAATAAAGAAAACATTACACACACTACCATGTATTGGACACAGACACATGCATACTCTTTTGTTGTCAAAGGGGAATGCCCATTCCAGGCCCAAAGCGGACAATAGATTAGAGGAAAAATACTTAGTACATTAATTTTGTCATAAATAAATATGTATTTACTTTCTTCCAAATAAGCGCCACTACAGTTTACATAAGTAGTTTAAAAAAGTAACTCAATTTGAAAAACAAGCTTTTTGATTTTTGCGGGAAAAATATTGCCAGCATCAAAACCTTTAAGTGTTAACCTTTAAGTTTTAAGTATATAAATAAAACATTTTACCTATTATGTTTAATCAATTCATTTTAATCGATTATAAGCACATGAAATAACATCAAAGACATACCCATGGACTTTAAACTTGTCAGATGGAAATACATTGCCAGTGGTATAATGTTATATCTCTTCGAGGAAGTTGAATTTCCATCAGCTTAATATCAATTTAAAAAAGTGTTGCTTTTTTAGACTAGAGGAGATAACATGTTGCCTTTAATTAAGAGTTAACTGTATAAAATTTAAGGTCACAATCTTGTACTATTGTGAATAGTCGTCACTGGTTAACCTTATGATTTCATTTACAAGTATGTAATAATTGCAATTTTAGATGTTAGTAAAGGAACAAGAAACTCAAATTGAATCTTTATCAATAGAAAGCGGGTTACTGAAATCAAATTCAAAAGAACATGAAAAAAAAATTTCAACATTACTGAAAGACAATGAAGTGTTGTTAAAGCACATGTGCCTGGCTAGGAATATTATATTAGGAAAAAGTAAGTATTAGATATTCAATATATTGTTACAATAACAAGATTTCTAAAGTACTTTGTTAAATGCATGTTCATAATTAAACAGGATCTTTAAATATTTCACCTATCCTTGATTGATTGGTCAGTCTCTTACTATATTAATAGCAATTAAGAATCTACATAATTGAAATTTGATTAGGTACTTGGAAAAGCACTTACAGAGGTATTTTACAAATGTTAATATTGCCTTAAAATGTATTTATTCACAATAATTTTGCATTGTAGAAAAACTAAATAAAAAAAGTAAATTGATATTAAAAACATATGAAAAACATAAATGCACTAGTGAACATGAATCTGATGATGATGATAGTGTTATTGATGATTCATATGATGAAGCTCCTTCATCTCCGATGGATGCTGCAGAGAATATAGACCATACAACCGATGAAGTAAATGTGAGTATTAATTATATTTCCTTGCATTTACATGTGGGTATATTTGTTAGACTTCTTAGGGAAGAGAGGCGTGCGTGCATACAATTTTGTATTTTGTAGTTTACAAAAACGAGTCATACGTTCTAAAGCGATTTTTTTCAATTTTGTTGTCTTACCATATCAATTTTATTTTTCAGGCACTAAAATCAGAAAGTATTTCCGTGGCGAAAAAACTATGTGTTCAACGTGACTTTCTTATTGTGAAGAATGATACTACTGAATGTAATGATGCTATTAGTGTTGATGCAGGACGCGGATCATCTCTTGCATTTTCAGATAGTGACAAGTGCTTTCACAGTCCTGATTATTATATGAATGACAGCCCTTTAAGTGATGGATCCAATACAAACAAACAAACGAAGAGATTGCAAAATACAGCTTCAAGTCCTATACAATTTACAGAATATGTGGAAGCATCAACTAGTCCTGTTGAATTTGAGCAATACCTGAAAACGACAAATAATGATAGTAAGAGAAAAAATCGATCAATATTTGATAGTCCTGAAAAACTCCGACATGCGGGTACAGAAGATAATTCCTTAAGTCCTGTCATGTTCAGTAGCCACAAAAACATACATGCTAGCGAAGGCCATTTTGTGACAACGGATGTTGCTACAAGCCCTATAAATCATTTTAGTCAAGATACTAACTTACAAATTCAACATGAAGATAAGGCTTTAAGCCCCATAAAGCTTAATAATCACAAACATGCATCAACTAGTCCGGACCGAGTGAAAACAATGAATGTTATGACTAGCCCTATAAGACCCTATAGTACCGACACTAATGTAGAATTAATACAAGCAGATAAAGCGTTAAGTCCTATATTGTTAACTGAACACAGAAATGTTTCAACTAGCCCAAACAGAAAGCAAACAGCGAATGCTTATACAAGCCCTACAAAATGTTTGAATACCGAAACAAATTTGGAATTAGAATATTCAGATAAAACATTGAGTCCACTAACAAAATGCAGTAATTGTAAAAATACACCTACTAGTCCAAAATGTATTCAGTCAATAAATGTAAGTAATAATCGTATAGAACTTTTAAGTCGTCAAACAGATGCTGCATTAGAACAGGCAAACAAAGAAAAAGAATGTTTGGAGTTACACAATAGCACTAACATTCAAGATGATAATTGCAATGATAATGAAATTGATATGATATTACGTTCTATGAGAATGAACCACAATCTCATAACTCCTATCCCATTAACCCCAACAAAATCACAATCCACGATCAATCATGTTTCTAAAGTTTCTCACAAGCAACTATCAGTGAGCGTTTGTCAAGATGCAGCTCTAGTGAGAGAGGAAAATAAACAATTACAAGCCAGTATTGCCGAACTTGCAAAAGAAGTAATGAGTATCAAGTTGTTACTCAGGAATCGACAGCTTCCAAAAATACCTGAGAAACCTTCAGGGTTGGAAGATTTAAATGAAATAAATGTTGAAGCAAGTGATTTAGTAATTCTTAATTCGCCACCGAAAACGGCAATAAATCCCAAAGATAGGGAATTTAAAAAATCACATAATAAAACAAATGAATTGGACACAGACAAAAGTGAACATTCTATACAAGAATGTGTTCAAAATGTAACACAGAAAAAGATACGTGAAAGTCTTGAAGTACGTCAGGTAAGCCCACGAGTTATTTATAAATCGTCTGATGTTTGTGTTGCCCAAAATAAAAATATAAATGATTCTAATGATGTAGAATCAACATGTGTGCATGATCAGACTCCGTTAGTACATAATGGAGAACCAACGTGTCCTATATCTAATCAAAATCCCAGTAACATACAGAATATCATAGATAATAATGTTGGGGTCAATGTAACGGAACCTATCTGTGATTATTTTGAAGAACCTTCCCCGATAAAGGAAGTTTGTAAAGTAGTTAAATCAAGAAAAATGACAAAACTAGATAAGCTTAAACAAAAATTGTTGCCAAAATGCAAGATAAAAACTAATGAGCCACTAGCTAAAAAATTGCAACTTAAACCATGTAAAGTACTGATACCTAGAATAAAAAGAATAGTGACCGATTTAGATTCTTCAGCTACATTGAATAATAAAGATGTTTATGAAAAAGCACTTAAAGCAATGGCTGAATTGAAATCAAAAAATCGCGCCACAGAACCATTAGAAAAAATTGAAAATAGTAGTAATAATAAAGATATTCGAAAGACTATACCACCGAATGAAACAAGTACACTTCAAGAAAATAAAAAACACATAGAAGCAGATAATCAATGTAGCGCTGATAACAACCTTGACAATAATCTACCACAATATACCAAACCACAACTAATCATAACAAGAAGTCGTAGTAAAAGCTTTGGTACAACGGAAGAAGAAGTTTCTGTAAAAACTAAATCTGCACAACATGAAAAGAATAACAGTAAATTTCAAGATGATAAAAATGAAAATGAAGAAAATTGTGTTTTATCTAATTTATGCAGAAAGCGGACAAGGCAAAATTCTGATGAGAAATCAAATTCTGAACCTGTACCATGCAAACGTGTGTTACGTAGTTCAGCTAGTAACATAAAATTATTCCAAAAACAATCTGATATTTCAAATGCCTCTGAAAGTATTAAGCAAGTACATAGTGTAGAGTTAATAGAAAAAGAAATAGTAAAAGAATCTTTTGTTACGAGTCCTCAATCTCACAAAAGTGTAAATAAGGCGGTGTCAAGTTTTAGTTCAGAAACAGAAGACATGACAAAGGATGTAGAAGAGTGCAATGAACCAAGTATTAAAGAAAGCATACTGTGTAAAATGATACAAAAATATGGAGTTAAGTCTGTTAGATATTGCGCTAAGAAAATACCAGGTTGGTTTACTTCAAAATTGAATTCTTCACTTTGATACACATTTAATTCATTTTGAATTGTTTTGTTATATGTTATCAATATGTGTATAATTTATATGGATTTTTTTCAGAATCTGTTTCTGATCCGATTGTTAAAAAGATTGAAGAGGGAATAGCAAAAATATCGGAGCTTCCTGCAAATGAAACAAAGAAAGCAATGGATAAATTAGTTGCGGATTTGAAAAAAAATGACACAAAACATTTGATATCAGCATTAATTAAATATTTAAAGAATCCTGATCGTAAGACTGAGCTGTTCAAAACAGTAAATTCTCCACCAGCACCACCTATGACCCAATCAGAACAAGTGCTACTTTATATCATCTCACAATTGAACATGAGCTATTCATCAACAGACATAGTAGAGGACCTTCTGAAAAATATAGAATTCACGTTATTCGCTTTAAATCGTACCCCAGAATTTGTGGTTATAGAAAGTATGGCACATTTCTATGCAGTGCTTTGTCGATACTTCAAATTCAAAAGCAGACTGAGGGTCTTTATAATGGATGCTATGTATTGTATGCAATTTAAGGCTGTACCATTAATTAAACAGTGTCTTGATGTTTGGATGCTCATTTTACCGTTAGCTCATATGGGAATTGGTAAGAAGCATTGTTTTATAGATTTCTTGCTCTTACTACAAGGGAGTTTTTGTTCCTTTCATTATGCATTTAGTAATGACTATCTACATCAAATATATAAAACTAAACTAAAATTCCTTTTTTAGCAAAAAGTCCATTGGTCACTTGTTTGGTGTACTTGTTGCACTTCTATAAATGTGAAGACAAATTTAATAGAGTTCAAGAAATTAGGAGTATTCTACATAGAAAATATTTTTATCAAGTAACAGAATGGAATGAGCCAAAAATAATGGAAATGTTGAAGAGTTCAATAATGGAAATAAGAAGTAAGTGCAACTCTTTGGAACCAGATTAAAACTTTGAATCAAATAACTAAAAACTAATATGCGATCTTTAAAATTAGTGTATCTGTAAGAACCGTAATTATTTTCTATGAAATATAATATGTTGTATAGTAATCGGCAAACTTCTTGAGCAAATGACCTTGACTGCGCAGAACCGAATTTTAGATCACTTTGGTGGTGAGGGTGAGGCGCGACGGCAGAGGAAATCGTAACGAGCGCGTTATTGGTAGATCAGTCGAACCTTGCGTCCCGCACCGCGCCCTCGTTCCGCATGCTCCCAAAAGTACGCTTGCGTACAGTGGAAAGTCTATCGTTATTAATCGTTAAGTTATTTGTTATAATTGCTTGTGGACTTTGTTGCCATTGCTATTTGTTGAGTGTTTGTTGATTTTTTATAAAACATACACTATGCCGTGACAAACTGGTGTAGTACTTAAAAGAAAGGGTAGAAAATTTGTGTACGACGTATATTGCTTCATTATAAAACAGGGGAAGAATGATATGGAAAAATTAAAACAGACTTCGGAAGCAACAAAAACATCAGTGAGTACTGTTAGGTGCATTATTAACGAAGCTAAAGGCTCTGGCTTGCTCGCCGTGTTTCGGACTCCGGGTAAGAAAAGATCAGGGAAGAAGAAAGTTACCGGAATGGATAGTTTCGTTCAATCTGTAATAAAAAGATGTAATCATAATAACTACATAACAAGCAGCGAAACTCCGTACCGTAGAAAGGCTTCGAAAAATTTAAAGAAGATATAAATTTTAATGGCTCGGAATGAAGCTTACGACGAATTATGAAAGAGCTAGGCTTCAGATGGAAAAAAAGAACAGAAAATAATCGGAAGCTGGTAAATGAAAAAAGTAACATTCGATTACTACGAATCGAATATCTTCAAAAAATAATTAATTATAGACAAAAAAGAAGACCGAATCGACCGAGTTGTAAACTACGCCGATGAGCCCTATGTCGACTCATCACGATGATAGCGACTCGGGTGATGAAAACAGTGATGATGATGATGGTCAAGATTATGATAACGAAAAAAAAATTACAAATACCAGCTTCGCTTTAACTGAACCAAGACCTGGCAACAGCTCTAGTTTTGACTTAATAGAAGGAATATCTATTTTACCCCAAGATTAAATTATTACAATTACTAACCTATATGTTTTGTTGATGTTCTAATAAATATATAAATAAATACATATGTTGATTTTAACAATTTAATAGCATTATGACGCAGAGTAAGTAATGTTTTTGCACGTGAGTGTACCATGCGCAAACTTACCCCCACTACGTCAACAAATGCTCAAGAAGTTTGCCGGTTATTATAATGAAAGTAAATTCATTTGTATTTTTATTTTTACAGCTCTAAGTATTGAAAAGAAAATGCTGCGAATGGCAATTATAATTTTCGCTAAAAGACATGGAACAAAGTGGTGTCAAAAAAACATAATTAACAAAATATTACTGCCCATCATAGAAAGAGAAAATGTTCCTAGTAGAGTGAAAGAATTCTGCTTGTCAATGTTGGGGCCTTTAATGAAGCCATATCCTGCAGATATGAAGGTGCACTGTGAAGTTGTTATGAATCAACTTATTGATATGTTCCAACAAAATAGTAAGTAAGCTTTTACGTAGTAAAGACTAATAATGTAGAATTATTTCACCTGTGTCGAAATCAAAGTATCACATGTTACAGGAATAAAATTTTGTAATAGAAATCAAACCTGCAAACATTATACTTTGCATAATTACTATTCAATTCAGTCTTGAAGTCTGAAGTAGGTGGCGGCATGGACCTTGTGATGTCTAGATTGAAAACATATAACACTAGTTGCGGTTGAGCCGCGAAATTTATATTATAAATTAGCGCACTTCCTGGTGATATTGTATCGTAATCCCCCAGGGGTAGTTACCATCATGTTTATTTTACGTAATATAAACTTATATTTGCCGATCAGCAACGTATATCTTTTATCAGTCTTATATTTTTATGCTTTTTTTTGTATTTAAAGGTAGACAAGTATAAAATCTAATTTACGGATAGTGGTGACTCACGCGTATAGATGCCAGAGCCCACAGCTGAGCCACTGTCTACTGCTTAGAAATATTTTTCAAACATTGAAAGATATGCACATAATAAATTATTTTTTAATTTATTTTTACAGCATCACAACAATTAAAAGAAGCAATTGTCAAAAGTTTATTGTATATGGACAGACATAATCAGTGTCGTGTTATCAAAGTTCTAATTGATTGGAGACCAAAAACTATTTCACCCGAACTAGAAGATGCTTTGCGAGACTTTGTTAAGTCGAAACCTTTAAGAACATGGAAAATTACATTAGCCAAAATTAGATAGTAGAAAAATATACTGTTTTGAAAATAGTGTGTGAGTAGTAGTTTAATTGGCTATTTTATTACATTTGACCATAAATATATCTCTTGTATAAATTGTGTTGTCAGTTGTAATGTTGATAATGTTTCACAGTTTTATAGTGGAATGTGATCTCATTACTAAGTTATATATACTGTACAGAACTGTGAGGTTAATTTTATTTAAGTAAATCTATTTAGGCTAAGGCCCATAACTCAAGTTTGCATTTAAATAAACTACAATAATATATACTTTTGGTTAAATTTTCAAAATCAACATTATAGTTATTGTGTTTGTTTATCCAATTAACAAGAATTTTATGGAGGCCTATCAATTTATGATTGAATACTGTGATTGTAGTTTTCTGTTTAAGTTCAGAGTAGGTTTAAGATGATGAAAATAAAACATTTCATAAATATCTTGTTTATTTAGTTAACCGTAGCATTGTTCTAATCGCCACCAATTATTAAATAATATATTAATACTAGCAGACCCGGCCACACGTTTGCAAAAACGTTAGCCACACGTTGCTGTGGCTAACGTTTTTGTTTCTAAATAACACGTGGCTGGCTATGCTAATACCAAAAATTAACAAAGTAAAAGAACAATTGGATTTCACTGTATTGCGTTTACTACGAAATGAATTTTACTTATACTTTAGCCTCAACAACACGCGGTGTTGCCATTCAATTGTAGCTTATGTGAAACGTTGGTATTTTTAACACAGCGCCATCTATGACATATTATTTTCAGACAGTATTATAATTGTCTGTAAAAATTGGTTTAAGGCGCCATCTGTTTTAGACTTATGAAACTTACAATTAATAACAATAATCCACATAAGTAATCATTTTATTGTTAATTAATAAATATTGCGAGCATTAATCGAAATAAAAACCATCATAGGACCTAAGCTGGAACAAAACACATATTTAAAAAAAAGGTAGTTAAAATCGGTTCAGTAGTTTAGATGTCCATCGCGGAGACAAGTATGTTGAAAACATTCGAGGAATAATTAAGGTTTGGTATGTAATATGTATGGTATGTAATACATACATTAAACATATATTTACTACAAAATCCAGAGTTCACAAATAAAACATATATTAGAGGTCATATACATGATTTCAAGTGCTCGAATTGCAATACTATTTCATTAAAACTGATTGTGCTGAAATACTCGATTGATTTTATGCGTCCATTTGGGAAATAAACAACTACATGTAAGAGAAGAAGATGATGATGATGATGATCATCATCATCATCACGTATTTGTGTATGTACATGATCTCATGTCGGAATGAAATCTAAGATTCTAAAAATTTGTTTTATATTTTTTTATTTCTACCATTATCACATGTATATTAACTAATTGAGTACGGGCACTGGGCGTTAAAAGTTTTACAAATTTGTGGTAATATTGAACGAAATTCGTTAACGCCATTTGCAACAGACCTGACCCGGTAACTAGATTTGGAAACGATACTAGCACTTCTCTATGTATTTCTTCTAGACTTTGTTTCCATCCCGAACTGAATGATGCTACAAGGGATAGAGATTTTCTTTCTAATCCGGCTAATTCTGCCTTTTTATCACCATCTTGCAATTGCTCACATTCCTTGACAAACTGTATCATTCCACCAAAATGTGGACTGAGAATCTCTTCTACATATTCTGAACTTCTTCCCTGTAATTGTTCCCTGAAGCTTTCTGCTTCTTTTGTGTTGTCTCTAGTTCTTTCCATTAATATGCTGAGGACCATGTCGTAATTATTAATTAAAAATATAAGCTGTTGTATTCTTTGAGGGAACTCTGCAGCCATTTTAAGTAAAAAACAATGGACTTCATCCTGAAGTACAGTCAGAAGTTTACTGAGTTCTTCAGACGGGAATTGTTCACTGAGGCTCAGCATAGCTGCCGAAAATTCGGCGTACCTTCGTGTTATCTGTAAAATGAAAGTTTTCAAGTAATTCATACTTTTACAGTTATTAACATTATGAATGACCTAGGTTCTTAGGACTCCTTTATGAATAATACGAATGTAAGACTTATATAAATATTATATAACATACTTATTTATTACATATATGAACTCTTAATGTGAAAAAAATGTAGTTTTGTGAATTCCAGATTCCACTTTCAAGGTTTCGTCATCGTAGCGAGATGAGATCGTAAAATAATTTCAAATAATGACAGTTGTTTTAATTTATTTATATACGAATATTTCTGGTACGATTACACAATTTTAAGATACTAAGTTTGAAACATAGCAAATTTATAATAATATTTTTTGTATTTATTACACTATGTATTTGTACACATTCGCGGACTAAAAGCCTAAGACATTCTCTACCAGTCAACCGTAGGCAATGCAGAGAAAATAATTAGAGGTGTATTAATACAATTATGCGGAGTTTACATTACGAAATTAGTGTCATGCATGTTGAACTCAGTTTCACGAAAGTAGTTTCGATATATGCGAAAGTAATTTCGTTTAAAAAATTTGTGTCGCGAAATCAACAGTATCGCAGTAACCATGGCGCCGTCAGCATCAAAGCTATAATTTACTATATTCAATGTAGCTAAAGAAATGCTTAAATACCTATAAACTTAAAAAAAGACTATAAAGAAAAAAAAAGTTGGTAGATTCGAGGATGGTCAACAAGAAGGCATTTAAGTGCAATGAAGTTAGTCTCTGAATTAGCAGATGAAGATCCTGAGACTTATAAAAACTATTTTCGAATGAGTGAAGATAATTTTGATTTTTTACTGTAGGTGTTTCGGGACCCTTGTCATTGATATTCATTAATAAGATCTATATTTTTTTCTGTACTCCATCGTTGGTTTGCCATTTTCAACGCTTGAAGCGCGTCCGAACTAACAATACACACGTCCGCACAGCGCAGGCCCTTTCGCGACATTAGTTTCACGTNGTCATTGATATTCATTAATAAGATCTATATTTTTTTCTGTACTCCATCGTTGGTTTGCCATTTTCAACGCTTGAAGCGCGTCCGAACTAACAATACACACGTCCGCACAGCGCAGGCCCTTTCGCGACATTAGTTTCACGTCGCGTCTACACTATGAAATTAGTTGCATGACACTAATTTCACCAAAAAATCGCGCAGGACACGAAACTAATTTCCATGCATGAAATTAATGCATGCATTACGAAAGTATTAAATTACACGTGAAACTGTTGGTAAAACTAATGTCACGAAATTAATTTCACGCCACTAATTTCGTAATGTAAATTCGGCTTTAAACCCAATTATATTGTAGGCAATAAATCCAGATCTAAAGTAAAATAATTTATACTAATGAAATTTAAATTGTAAATATTTACATAATGCGGTCCCATTTCCTTGTTTGACAGTTTAGAAGGGTCGCAGTCCCGTACGCTTTGAATGTTCAGTTTTAATACATATTGTAGCCGAGGCCACAAAGTGTTGTATAATGATTCCCAGTAACTGCAACAACATACGTACGAATATTAATTAGTTTAGCGTTTAAACTGACATAAAAATTGTGGTGTTGAGATTTATAGCATATCATTATATTTCATAGTTTTTATTTAATAAACTATTTATTTAATAATTAATTTATTTGATCAATGAAAACTTTAGGAACAAGTCCTTGTAACTAAGATGTTTTTCAGGGCTTTGTTAAATTTTTTGATTATTCAAGATTCTATATAAGATCTAATATAATATAAAATTCTCGTGTCACGGTGTGCGTGATATATTATTATATCCTTTGTAAACGTACTTTTCCTTATTCAAGGTTTCTGTATTCGCAGCATATTTACGGACATACCCGATCCGGTGGACCGGATGGTAAACAGTCGACGTCGCCCTAAACACACTTCATTACGGATCCTCCGGATACATTAGCGGTGCTTTTAGGTACCTCAAGCACTGGTCCTCGCGACGAAGGGCTCGACGAAGTAAATTAACCCATAGACATAGCCCACTGAGTTTCTCGCCGGAACTTCTCAGTGAGTCGCATTTCCGATCCGGTGGTAGATTGTGCGAAGTACTGCTCTTGTTAGGGCCAGTGTTAGCAACACTCCCGGTTTGAGCCCCGTGAGCTCACCTACACGTCAAGGAGAATAGCCTCTCAAGGCTATCAGCATAGGTAGGAAAAAAACTTACAAAACATATATTCCGCGAATAAGGAGCTTTTACTGTATATATATTTATCTGCGTGTTTGGGTCAAATGTAGCAAATTAAACCTCTACTTATCATACGGAGTTGAACTTTTACTTCTTGGTTCAATTTCAGTGATGAGAGTATTTTTATGGTAAGCAATGACCTGAATTGATATCCAAGATTAGCTTTAGATAAAGCAACTCTTCAAAGGTACACAGCATAGAAATGAGATTTTGTTGTACGCATTTATTACGAGTGTATTTTAGATTTTATCGTGACATGGTGTTCCTGCGCTGAGTGTTGGTTTCTGAATAAGGGACTCTTCAATGGGCAGCATAGATATTAAAAATATATGCATTCAGTTATGATGAGTGATTTCTCAGTTTCATCATCTCATGGTTACAGCCCTCAAAATGAACAGCACTGGCACAATGTACTTGTATACTAATATTATAAAGCTGAAGAGTTTGTTTGTTTGAACGCGCTAATCTCAGAAACTACCAGTCCGATTTAAAAAATTCTTTCAGTGTTAGATAGCCCAAGGAAGGCTATATAACATCACGGTAAGAACAATACAAGTGGAGCACCAATAAAAAATGTTTCAAAACAAGGGTTTCAATAGCTCCTTAACATTCTACAATTCCAAAATATTGTTACTTTCTACATAAATGAAGTGGGGAGTAAAATTTAGCGTTACGCCAAAGTAACTATTCCACGCGGACGGAGTCGCGGGCATAAACTAGTATATTGATATGCATTCAATATCAAAAGCCAGTTCTTGTCTGGTATTCACAATGTATATAGTATTCTATGGCTTTTGTAATTTGGAGAGATGGGCCTCATCACCATTGGTATGGGTTTAGGATAAGGAAAACTACAAAATCAAACATAGAACTGTTATGTTAAGCAGAAGTAAGTTTCAACCAAACACTAAAGTCAAGATGAGACTTGAGGACTGAGTGGCTTTATGGTGGGTCAAACATGCCGTACAAGTATCGCCTTAGGGCTGATTAGCCCTATATTTATCTACTCTTTGCCATATTAGCTTTTACCCTTCTAAATGAAGGTTTGTTAGTGTCGAAAAATTTCTTAATATGAATTCTCACCTGTCCAGAGCCGCAACTGCTCTTTTATGGCACATTAACTTATATCTGTTTATTAATTGGATACAAAGAAATAGTGCCAAACAATCATAGCATTCAACTACATAGTTTTCCACATTTTTCTGTAAAATAAAAAATTAAGATGATTAAATTCAATTCAGACTATTCAATTTCCAGAAATAAATATTAATGTAAATCATTTTTATGGTTTACTCACTACAAGCACGGACAATGTTTTACCGAGGATTCTATCAAAGAGCTCTTGTGCATGGTTTCCTTTGACATGGAAAAATTCAGTGGTAAACAGATATTCTCTGCAACCATTGTCTACCAAGGCATATTGAAGACTTCTAAATAAAGCTTCATATGAATACTGAAAATAATACATTTATTATCAAGAAGTGCTTCAAAACATTAATATAGTGTCATTAAAAAAATGAGATGCATCTGAGATGAGAGAGTGAGAGAGAATGAGATCTGTCGGTGTCTGTAAATGGATTTAACTCAGAAACTTATTTTGCAGATACCGGTGTGCCCCAGGGATCACATTTGGGACCCCTTCTTTTCATAATCTTTATTAACGACATAGTCGATAAAGTAAGTCACTGTAAGGTGTCACTATTTGCCGATGACCTCAAGATATACAAATCCATAGTTTCTGTTGTCGACTGTCGCCAATTGCAAAGTGACCTAGATGCGATCCTACAATGGTGTCGCTGTAACAGTATGACACTCAACGCAAATAAATGCTTTCACATTAAATTCACTAGAAAAAGAAAGCAACTTGCTACGGAATATAAGCTTGGTGGTACAGTACTGGCAGAAGTTAACGAAATCCGAGATCTTGGTGTGATAGTTGACAGTCAACTTAAATTCACCTCGCACATTAACAAGTCTGTCACAAAAGCAGCTCAAATGCTCGGATTTTTGAAACGTAACTCGGGCGGATTTAGGCGTCAGCGCACCAAAATCTTGCTTTACCAAACCTTGGTGCGCAGTCATCTTGAGTTCGCCAGCGTTGTATGGAATCCGTATTATGCCGTGCATTCGNTGGCGTGATAGTTGACAGTCAACTTAAATTCACCTCGCACATTAACAAGTCTGTCACAAAAGCAGCTCAAATGCTCGGATTTTTGAAACGTAACTCGGGCGGATTTAGGCGTCAGCGCACCAAAATCTTGCTTTACCAAACCTTGGTGCGCAGTCATCTTGAGTTCGCCAGCGTTGTATGGAATCCGTATTATGCCGTGCATTCGCAGCGCGTTGAGAGCATTCAAAGAGCGTTCACTAGGCATTTAGCTTATAATTCTAGTGGTTTTTCGCACAGAAATCCTTACAAAGAGCGCCTAATTAGGTTTCGAATGTGTTCTCTTCGTGAACGGAGACTTTTATTAGACATGTCCTTCTTCCACAAAGTCGTGAGTGGTCAATATCAGTGTAGCTACTTTCTAGAGAACATGCCTTTAAAGGTTCCCCGTACCTATCCTCGCGGGAAACTCAAATATATTTTCTACACCCCACCTGTAAAATCTAATTTGGGACGGCAGGCACCTCTCCGTCGAATAATTGATGAGTATCATTCCCTAATCACAGTGATGCCCAATCTTGATGTGTTCCACGACAAGTTGCGTGTATTTAAGGACAAAATAGGAAAAGAAAAGAAAAGGGACCTTAACTTTAATCGTTGATCATTTGTTGTTCTATAACTGACTTGTTGTTGCTTGACATTGTATTAACATTTCTTCTTTTCGATATGACATGACATTTTTATTAATATTTCAACAAATAGTACTGTTACTTTTTATTATTATTATTATTGTATTCAATTTTCGAGCCAATGAATTGCCAATGCTATGTACGCCATTGTTGTCACATGCATCAGGCCATAAATTAAATAGTTTAAATTTATTTTCAATGTTAGATGTTTGTGATGTGGCAGTACTTATTTAAATAAATAAATAAATAAATAGATGCATACAGTAAGCAATAAATATTTTAAAGTTGTTAATTTCATATTTTATTTAGGAATGAAAAGATTTTAACCACTTGATTCTATAAACGAGAAGCCAAATGAAATTTGTAATATTGTATTATGTACCTTTGTTTTTTGCTGAACATGTGGTACAATAATGGGTGCTTCTAGTTGTTGGGCCAGAACATCACCTCTATTCCCTATAGTGAATATTGTACTTTTATTTTTTAAATTAGATTTCTGGAAGAATCCTCCTTTAGATCCATCCTCTATTCCCATTAAGTCATCTTTGTTGGGTGCTTCTTCATATTTCAATTTATCTAGTCTTGATGCATATGACTTGAAGTATGAATAATAAACTTTGCTCAATGTATCAATATATTCATTGCAAATTTCTTGAGCCACATTTCGTTCATTGGTCAATACAAATTCAAAGAAAAATTTGTATTTCAGCATGGCATTTTGTGGTATTTGATAATTTGCCATTGGTTTTCTGAATTTATATATTTGTTCTAAAATGTATGTTCTTATCTTTGACACTGCTTTTATCTTTAATTTTTCCAAAACGTCTTTGACATCATGACAAGCTTTAGTTTCTTTGAAATCTTGTTCCTTTACAAAATTTAATTTTTGGTTTAAAATTGCCAACTGCACCATAAATTCTTTGTCGGTAACTGGAACATTGTTGATACCACTGGAATGTAATCGTAAATGTAATAGAGTACAATTAAAATCCATAAAAGTGGATAAATGAATCCAGGCAATCACTTACAATATAACAGTTTCAGACACTGCCATGTCTTCTATGAATGCAGATAAAGGTCCCTTAAGCACTTGTCTATTAGATAACTGTACTGACATATTCACTGAACGCTTTTGTAAACTTATAATTTCATTGCTGATGCTTCCTAAATCATTCTGTTACAAGAAAAGTTATCATTAAAGAATACAATAGGCACTCAATTTTTCAATAGAGCTATTTTCAAAATCAAAATTTTCATGTTTATTGAAGTCGTCGTGGCCTAACGGATAAGACGTCCGGTGCATTCGTGTTGAAACGATGCACCGGTGTTCGAATCCCGCAGGCGGGTACCAATTTTTCTAATGAAATACGTACTCAACAAATGTTCACGATTGACTTCCACGGTGAAGGAATAACATCGTGTAATAAAAATGAAACCCGCAAAATTATAATTTGCGTAATTACTGGTGGTAGGACCTCTTGTGAGTCCGCACGGGTAGGTACCACCGCCCCGCCTATTTCTGCCGTGAAGCAGTAATGCGTTTCGGTTTGAAGGGTGGGGCAGCCGTTGTGACTATACTGAGACCTTAGAACTTATATCTCAAGGTGTGTGGCGCATTTACGTTGTAGATGTCTATGGGCTCCAGTAACCACTTAACATCAGGTGAGCTGTGAGCTCGTCCACACAGCTAAGCAATAAAAAAAAAAAAAAAAAAAAAAAATTTTTACATTCCAGGGAATTCCACAGTACTGAAATCTTTAGGTATGATATAGTATCAAGATTAACTCAAACTCTCTCAACTCAATTAGAAATTAAAATTAAAGTTCTCGGTTAACTGTCAGAGGTATTTAACTTCGCTAGATCTTATTAATAATAGCTTATCTTTCTGTCGAACTCCTAAACCTTCTATACAAGTATTAAAAACTAAAAAATAACATTTATTTGAGACTTTTTTTTATAAAGGTAATAGGTATTCTATAGTCACATTATTATAAATATTTTATTTCCTAGCATTCCCTAACATGCTTCGTATTTATTTTATTTTCCAAGGAGATGTATTTTTCTATCTTTATTGTGTGAAAGGAGAGGCCTATGCCCAGTTGTGGGTACCAACGGGCTGAAAACTATAATAGTGTTGTAAATCTGTTTTATGCGGTAAATAGAGATAAATTTACCTGAAACACCAGTAGCATACTCTCCATTTTCCCTAAAATATTGTCACATTCTTCGATTTGATTATGAAGGGAGCCAATATTCTCACTTTCTCTCAAATAATCCGCAACAGATGCTTTTTCAGCTTCGATGATTCCTTTGTCGATTTGAAGAGCATATTCTCGCAAATCTGTACCATTACGGAGAACCTCTTGGATTTCGAAATCCTCAAGATTTTTGTCTAAGTTCATGTTGTTGTTATCAGACATGATTAAACTCTAATGGAATGACGGGAAATCAACATTTATACTTGACTGTGTGCGTTTTCAACTATTCACATACATTTTACTTGAATTTTTAGGTTTTGTATTTAAATTTTTTTGTTATTTTATAGCACTGAAACAGTGACACTACTTATGACGTTTTTTTCGTTTTCTTTCTGGATGGACAAAGAGTACAAAGCCCATACAGCCAAATTAAAAGATTATTAAAATCTTAGACTTTTTGGCGCGAACACGAAGAGCGAAATTGTATGAATTATTGTTTTGTTGGTTTTGTTTTCTAATTTTAGGGTTTCTTCAGATTTAAACGTGTAATAAAGGTGGTTTATTAACTGTTTTGTGTTGAATGTGGCTTCTCGGGTTGTTCCAGTTTCTGATCTCATATTAAATAACTACCATTTTATTGAGACTTTATTCTATCTCATCTCATCTCATTTAATTTCATCCGAATTGATTACAGTCTCAAATTAATTAACTTCATCTCATTTTGCTTCATTATGTATATATGTATAGGCGTCCCACAAGAAAATATATGATTTTATTTCCCTAAGAAACTGTATGAAGTCTTCCAAGTACTGGTTGGCTCCTGGAGTTGTGGGTTGTGGGTGTTGAAGGTAGTAGTGGGTTTTCTATGTAGCGTGGGGAATCTAAGTTTTAAAAGTTTGTTACATGGTTTTGGTATGTGTCAATTAAAAAAGTAATGAAGTGTGGGTGAGGATTGTGGCCTTACTGTCAAAACCTACAAATACTCGAATTTTTATTATTATTTAAATGGGTGGATGAGCTCACAGCCCACCTGGTGATAAGTGGTTACCGGAGCCCATAGACATCTACACCGTAAATGACACCACCCACCTTGAGAGATGAGTTCTAAGGTTTCAGTAAAATTACAAAGGCTGTCCAACCCATCAATTCGAAACGCATTACTGCTTCACGGCAGAAATAGGCAAGGTGGTGGTACTTACCTACCAGTGCGGACTCACAAGGGGTCCTACTACCAATAATTATGCAAATTATAATTTTGCGGGTTTGATTTTTATTACACGATGTTATTCCTTCACCGTGGAAGTGAATCGTGAACATTTGTTAAGTACGTATTTTATTAGAAAAATTGGTAGCCGCCTGCGGGATTCGACCATCGGTGCATCGCTCAACACGAATGCACCGGAAGTCTTATCCTTTACGCTACGATGACTTCAAATATTTTAGAAAAGTACGTTTTTTATTAAATTCAAGGGATGAAAAATAAACACACAAATTTAATGGATGCATAAGCATCAATGATATTATTCTCAAGAAATATTTACAAAGAAAATGTATAACTTTAACAAAAGCACAACTAAGAATAGAGTAAAATTATATTGAAATGTCAAGAAATGCCATTGTATTAACTATGCATATTGTAATTGTATTAAAGGACTTGTAGATAGAATAAATGAATGCCTATGTACACATACATATGAACATATTTAGTACATATTCTCGTTGATCTATTTAACTGATAAATTATGTTTTATATTAATATTTAAGAAAGTTTAACTGCAATTTACGACTATCAAACGGACAGGATCTCGGCATCAAGTAAAAAATACCGTGACGTACTTCCTAATTTGATATTTCTAGTAGTAGTAGTTTCCGCAGTTTATTTTCCGTCTAGCTGATATTCAAGGTTTACCATTCTTAAAGTAGGTTGACCTCAGATAGGCCGCGTTTACTCAAACGTGTTGCATGCCATTAGGCATAGTAGTTGACAATTATAAACCCGGTGAAAAATAGGAATAAAAGAAACGACGTCGCTACTATATCCATGTCCTTACGGTATTTGTATTTACATTATGAAAGGATCGAAGAAGAGTAAAGAGGAGAGGTTTAATTAAAGTACACTATAATTAAATTTCAAATTTGTCAAAAAAGTATAAATATGAAATAGTTCAACGACAATGATCGTAGTAGAATTTTTACGATTTAAGACCATCATATTTTCTAACAAGTAGGTACATTAAAAATATAAATATACATATAGTAAGTGTACGAGGCATTAGAAATAGCACAACCAATAACTGAAGTAGGCACTTAGCCCTGTTAAATGGTGTACAAGAATTATTATTACAATAGGGCACTGTAAAGTTTAACAAACTTTGTAGAAATAACGTATGATGTTACACATAATAATCTAAAAATTAATTATTATTTAAGTAGTAAATGGCTTATGAGTAAAAGTTCAGCATTCTGTTACTGTACCTATCTTAATACGTTACGTATGAATCGTACAAAATTATCAATATTCACTCGTGTTTTACACCTAATAAATTTGTATTATTTTCTATCACTTCGTTAATTTTAACATCAATGCATCATAACAACAATATCAATAATCAATACGAAGAACAGTCTCATAGAATAAATTGGACGTCAACCGGCAGCTAGCCAAGTCAAGATGGTATCAAATTTTTTATATCGATTTGTATCTATTAATTACAGCAAATTTTTGAACTATGTTTAATGTTAATGCTTAAACTTACTAGCAGGATAGGATCACAGATGTACAGGTCAATTGCTAACTATGTTTTAAATTTGTCTTAACTTTATGCACATGCTGTGCATTGCAGACGTTACTAATGAAAATTTATTTTATCTATCTACGTGAAAAATGCATGTAAATAGTAAATATAAATATTTCAAGTACAAACGATAGTTATTATGTTTAAATCTAATAAATACAGAAACGTAGAGTCCCATTCACACACGCATACAAATTCGTCTGGTTTCATATAAATAATGTACTTAGTAATATTTTTAGAACTGTAGCATAAGTGCAATTATTTTTTTCATAAAGATGACTCGATTTAAGTAGGTATTCCAGAAATATTTCGAATTATTTTAGTTGGTAATTTTAAATCGTCATTGTCAAATCTAACAGTCCTTTTCTCATTCAAACTTTTAGAAATATGTTTATTATACATTACACAGACTGCTACTCTGCTTCATGATTTTTTTTTAAATTGGTCCAGATACAAGATTATCATTAATACATAAACTTATTATAGTGGACTATGCGTTTCCACAATATGCACTGGGTAGATCGCGGTGTAGACCGCGGTATTGATTAAGCTTTTCCGAGCCGCCACAAATTATAAAGTTTAGAAGAAAAAAACTTGCATGGATGTATTATTAGCGTTTTATATTTTTTTATACTTATATAATCCTTTGTCAATACATTGTCAAGTGATATGTTTCATTTAAACGCAGACACAATGAATGCTGCTTATTTGTAATCTACCTACTTACATATTGTAGATTTAAAATTCACTAAAAAAGCTCTGAATAAGTTAATGCGAACCACGTCAATGTTTCATTATCTATTTTATTTCTATCTTTAAAGGTACTCTCTAAGACACTTTGTCAGATTTATGAACCTTATATTGTGATATAAAAAATGCTGAACTTTTGCTCATGCCTTAATTAATTTACATAACAAATTATAAGTGATTCTAGCGTCTAGAATTATTAAATAATTTAAAAAACTAAAAGGTAACTTCCAACACTCTTGACGACCACGTGATAATGACGTCACAGATCACACATTAACGCGCAACCAAACTCAATTCTATTCATATTAATATGTTGATTTTGTGAATATAAGTCCGGTTGCCGTTCGCTCACATCCGTACAAAAAGGACATTAAATGCCTAAGTTTTATCAAATAACACTTCTTACAATTTATTATAAAAGTTCAGATAGACTGAACTATTTAAATTTAACATTTCTAAGTCTTGTGACTAGATTTTCCTTAACTAAATAATACATAAGTAAATAACATAGGAATATTTGTACGACAAGATGCCATTGATCACGAGCGGTAACTCAAATGCAGACTACTAAATACACAACATTATACGTTCAAACTAAATCACACCCAAAATACCAATTCCTTTACCTACTTTTTTCAATAAATTAATCTTAGCATAGATCTTATTCATATCATAAACTGTCATCGTATGTGAGTACTTTTAATTTTATTAATAATCTCGTAAAATTAGCACGAACCGATTCCGTGGAGATCGCGTACTATAAACGTTCATTTAGAGTCTAGAAAAATATTTTTATCACTAAATCCTTACAAAAATAACGGAGTCGGCTCTAACAGCTAAAGGAGAAGTGGATTCAAGGCGGGAGTGGTCCTCGGAAATTCGGTGCGGACTACGGGACGCCTAAAAGGGAAGGCTGGCACGAAACATGTTTTCGATAAGAGGTGGTGCCGGGACCAAGTCTTCTAGCTTCAAGTAGAATATGCGTTGGAGGCCTTGCACGGACAAAGAGCGCAATTCGGGCAGAGCACCCAGCACGCGGCTAAAGTGGGGCGCGCCGCTGCTCGATCCACCTCCGCCCGGCATGTGCGCTCGCAAGCATCCGATAATTTTCATTTGAAGCTGCTCCACACGATGCGGCTCTTTTAAGCCGTGTCTATCTGTTAATAAAAAGTAGATGGTTTTGGTCTATTGTCTTTCAAATTGTCACGATAATGTCCAAAAATTAATAACTTGTTTTAAACTTGTTTAAGATAGAATTTTAATCATCATATTGTTAATGATGATATTGAAACATTAGATATGTATTAAAATGTGTTCTTGTATGTTTGTATATCTCCTTGTTTATATCTCTATCCTCTCTAATTTCTGTAAAGATTCCGGTTTGAAGGATAGAGTAGTTGCTATTCCAAGCACAATTGAAACATCGGCTCATGTCTCAAGGTTAGTGTCAGCATTCACACTTCACTATTAGCGAGCTATGGTAGTCGTTCACGTGAAGATTTACCGTGAGCTTGACACGAAACGAGAGGATTAAAATTATTAGTTGTATTTCACAAAATAAGTTATGAGTCTAGTTAAAGAGCGGGCGCTTTCTCGAGAACGAAAGTATAGCAAGTTTATTTTGGCTATTAATAATTTAATGCTATTTTTTTCACAGTGTAATATTAAATTTACCTGAAAATTTTTACTAAAATTCTTGTTTATTACGTAGGTAGTAGAAGTTACTAACCTGTAATCAAAGTCAGTGCGCAAAGACAGGCAAATGTAGAAATGTCGATATCCATAGAGTGAAGCGTGTTACTGAAATCCAGAACTGCGTGAAGCCAGTCTCCGAACGATCGCTGACACTGTCGCTTATCGAGAACTAGCCCATTGCAGAATGTGAGCTTAGTATCCTCAAGTCGAGTACGATATGCCAACCGTAGAACGAACAGTTCCAAACGAGCAGAAGCAAATAGTTGCTCTCGGTCCTCGGGGCATAGATCACCATATCCAGGTACTTTTTCAGCGAAAAGTTTGATCATATCAATCGATGTTGTTAGAAGAGAGTAAAACTGTTGAATAACTTCAAGATCAGACATCGGTGGCTCAAGAGGACTCGGCTCACGATATTGAGAATAGTCTAGATTAGCAAAGTCCGGCGAAGTATCAACGTGAGCTCGAACAAGGGCTGTTATCAGAGAGATGGGTGGGCTTGGTGGAGATTCTTGTGGACATTTAGGCTTTGAGGGCAGCCTACCGCGCCTGCCTTTTAGAGAATCAGTTCTAACCACTTCTTTCACCATACCCACGGCGAGGCATTTTTGAAACCGACAAAATTGGCATCGATTCCGTCTTCTTTTGTCAACAGGGCAAGATTTTTCAGCCAAGCAAACATACTTGGATCCTTTTTGAACGGTTCTCTTGAAGAACCCTTTACATCCTTCACAAGTTCTGACACCATAATGTTGGCAAGCGGCTGTATCTCCGCAAACAGCACAGAGCTGGCTGGGCGAAGATGGTGCTGCACGTGGTCCAGTGTTATCAGCAGGTGCTACTCCAGGAGAACTTGATGCTGAATTCGGAGTGGAAGGCTGCATACAGTGAACTCTGGTACCGTGCAATTTTGGACTGTCATTGGAGCTGTTGGATTCAGATCTTTGCACAGGTAATGACGAACGCCGTTGTCTAGCAGCCTGCTCAGCTGATATATGTAAATCAACAGTGCTTGGAAAAGGTGGCAAAGAATAAGAATCTTGGTTTGGAGTTACGGTGTCAAACGTAGGACTACAAGGCTGAGGTGGCGCGTAGTACGTCGACGGAACATAAGGAATCGGTGGTTGATGATATTGGTAAAGAAGTTGAGTAGACGTATGTCCCTGATGGGAATATGCACTCACATTGTAGCAATCTTCATCCATTTTGATACCGAATTCTGCCATTTCGTGTTTCGGATACCGAACTGAATATGTCTCCTCGAAACTGGGCAATGCAGGGCCAGGTATCGGTGATGATGTTTCACTGAACGAGGTGTCCCGTTGCGATTTAAATTCCGGAACGATGGGTGCGTGAAACTCTACGTCCGGGAATGGATCTAGGTTTTCTTCTAAGATTTCCGTGGAATCTTCTTGATATTGTGGTGACAGCAGATCAGAGAAGGACGAACCGTAGTTGCTCTGCAATGAAAAATGAATAAAAATCGATAATGGAGGCGTTTGCAAGCGTAGGTTGTCCGAAGACGGGGGCGGTCGCTAAACGACCAATAGCAGTTGATACATGACTAATTTACGGAATATCATTGTATGGTTCAACTTAGTGACAAGTGCAGGTGGTCTAATGATATCATGCATAATTTAGAAAATAAATTTCACTGTACTTTAACCAGTACCATACTTAATAATGGTCTTTAACATTACACGTTACTTATTGTTTATTAGACTCTTGTATTTATGTATTTAAGTAATGTTTTATAAAAATAAATAAATAACAAGAAAATAAAGATACTTACGTGTGTTTGCAGCAGTAGCATGCTGGAGGAGTTAGGAGTGAAGGCGCTTGGCGAGCGCGACTCTATGGCGCTCGGCCCTATAACAAAAAAACATTTTTATTAGTAAACAGGAAATAGAAGCAAATAAGAAGAATAAAAACTTTAGATGCTACTGCACTTCTAAACGTTAAGAAAGTAAGGCTATGAATGCGCCAGGAAATCCGTAATCGACGTATCGCACTACAATCCTTTGAACTATCACGCCATTCGGGCCGTGAATTATTTATATTTACCCTCGGCGAACATACTTTGATTCTTCCTTCACACAAGCACTTGTAATTTACTAATCGATATCGAAGCAGTCTATTGTCGAGTTGTGATCGCTAATCCCTTTATGAAAGCACAGTGTGCCGAAAAAGAAATGTGTCGTATTTATACAGCAGTTCCGCGGACCTAATATTGGCGTTTTGAATACATTGTGTCACGGTGCTTGATTTGCCACGCCCAGAAAATTGAATTCTATGTATACACCTTGCCTTTGTTTACTATGTAAACGCTACAAGCTGCTAACTGATTATTTTTGAATTTGAACCTTATTTTCTCGCCTTTGAATTTATGTTGGAGCACCGACATTAGCAGAAAATTTTTGGGGCGAAAAGGCGATGAATCCCTTGGGAGGTTATGAAATCAGTGGCATTTGCAGTTTCTATTGTGCTAAGAACCATTAATTCCGGTCTTATTAAGCTATAAACAAAACAGGGGCTTTTGTTAGTGGTACTATAATTTTTGGGTCGATAACAAAATATTTAAAGTTATTTTTAAGCTTTGATATGCGTAAATGTGTATCGGAAACCTCTATATCATTCAATTCATCTTTATTTTTCTTTTAGAAATGCAAGAGTAGCTCAGTCGGTTTTAGGGTAATCATCAATAAAGAGTCGCTAGTTCTTGACTAGACACGGATATCTGAGTCAAACATGGTTATTGCATGGTGATTTTTATAAATTGTGTTGACGAGTGGCACCATGATAACGCCTTGATGACAATGTGGAATCATGGCTGTTATTTCCTTTCAAACGCCATGACTATTAGTAGCGTAAACAAGATATTGGTTGACACTATTTAAACCTTTTAAATAATTCGAGAATTTGATTAGGTATAAAATAATAGGTATGGTCATTACTTGGCTGTTAGGAAAACTTATTGAAAAATTGTCAGAGTTTATTAACATGGTTGAGGTAGCGTCTCTGATGTTGAAACTGTAGTAAATCACCACTCTAAATAAAAATCAGTGTTACTTAGCTAAAGTACAAATATATGTTATAATAAGTTACTATCTCGTGAAACGAAATCTAAAGCAAAGGCGTGTTACGGACGTTTCGCGCTTTCTGACGAGCCGTTTGATGTATGTATTACATTGCGGGCTATGCAAACATATTACAATAATGAATTTTTCAATTGTAATTAGCTTTTTATTAGCTTATATATATTTGGATATTACACCTTTCTTTGTTTTTAAGAACAAGTCCCTTACTGGTTTATCTTAAGGGGATTTACTAATTACGGTATACTCTTTTATACATACATACATGATTGCCAAAGTATAGACATGTGAAACCTTTTTAGTCTAGTTACGGTTGAATAGAAGCGCAAAGTCCTAGACTACGAGCGTGATGTCCAAGGAATATATAGCCTATAAATATAAGATCGACCCAGGCTTTGCACAGTTTTAAATCTGGTTTTTCCTTTTTGAATGCGACGAAAAATACTAGGGTTTCCTATTAAAGTATATACGAGTCATCACCATTCCTGTCGAAGTAGTCGAAAAATTGTAAAATAACGTGAAATTATTGTTAAAAGTCTAAAGTTTTATCCTTGATAAATTTTAAGTATTTGACTTACAAATAGTTTCCTTTACGGGTACATTCTTAGTCTATGAACACACATTAACATTGGTTTAATATATTCATAATATTGTAGGATTATTGACGTATGGTTTTTATAATTTGGTTACAAAAATTTAATCGCTTTATTACTTTACGAACAACTTTTAGAAGGACATTAAAAAATAACATCGGCAACAGACAGTGATTCTGTTTTATTCAAATTTTAATAGACTAAGTTTTATGTTGAATTAGTCATAGAGTTGATGTATGTCTTTTTTAATTTTTCTTTAGCATTTTATCAGATTATATTTTTCAAGGGACTGTATCCTTATCGTTCAGAAGTGAATAGCTGCGGGGAAAATGTAAAGGTATTTTTTATTTATTCCGTTTAGACGAATACGTGCTCACAGCTCGCCTAGTGTTCTCACATGTCAAAGACAAACTGAGCATTGTGAGTCCGCACCACAGGTCCGCACGCTGCTACATCTTACCTATTTTTACCGCGTAGCAGTAATTTGTTCTGGTTTCTAGAGTGGAAGAACAGCTTTAATATAATATATATGTAATTGAGACTTCGACTTTATCTTTCAAGTTGGAGGACGCTACTCGATCATATCTATAAGTTCCGGTACCAGATAGGCTGACAAGTCATCTACTCATCGAGAGCATATATTCATAACAATTTTTAAATTATCCCAAAATGAAGTATTTTGTGGAATTTTACAGTTTTTATTGGTTCACGACCAAAACTTTACAAAAACGGGTTTCTTGTACGGGAATTGATTCAAAATAAATAATGATTGCTTTCTTTTTAAGAAAGTATCCGTTATTATAAAACATATATTGAAAACTAATATTATGATAATTTCAGCAAGCTATACAAAATATTAATTAATTAACCTTTATATGTTTGTCAGACAAACAGTAGTAAAACATTTCTTACGACACGGAATTCTACAAATGTACAAATGAATGTGACGACCGCGTTTGGTGGCATTGTAAAATTCCCTTACGCTTTTAATTAAAAGTGAGAAATATTAGTAAATAATTTAAAGCCTTTCACACATAAATTATTAATATTCATAGGTACATAGCATATAAATGGATGTGAAAAACTAACAATAGAGGCTTCTAAGTTACATAAGTTAAGTTTCTTCGTCGATATTGAAATTGGTATCGGCCGTTGCAAATTTTTGTGTAAGTTTTCTTTATATAACTCTCCTTAATGCGATTTATATATATATATATATATATATATATATTTTTTATTGCTTAGATGGGTGGACGAGCTCATAGCCCACCTGGTGTTAAGTGGTTACTGGAGCCCATAGACATCTATAATGTAAATGCGCCACCCACCTTGAGATATAAGTTCTAAGGTCTCAGTATAGTTACAACGGCTGCCCCACCCTTCAAACCGAAACGCATTACTGCTTCACGGTATAAATAGGCGGGGTGGTGGTACCTACCCGCGTGGAATCACAAGAGGTCCTACCACCAGTGAAAAATAATATAAATAAGTCATATAAATAATAAATTATATAAATAAGTCACGCGGCTTGGTACGTAAATGTGGAAAAAAATTATACTTCTAATGCGAGCCCACGGTAAATTAGTATTAGTTTGGCCTAGAAAAATGTAATTATATCGTGAAAGTTACAATTTTTATTTTTTATTTCCTGACCTCTCCACATTTCCGGTGTTTAAGAGGATACCCGAATTTTATGTAACATCTAATCTCCACAGATTATGGGTACTCAAACAAACGATGGAGGAAATTTCCTTCTTCTGGCTAGGCTAGGTTTAAGCGCGTCAAAAAGTATCATTTCATTTACAATCAATGTAAGGATGCGAAGGACCCACCGTACCATATCAATACTAGGTTTTTAAACTTATTATTTCTGCGTTCTGAGCCGTTTTAAATAAAACTAACACATCCTAGAAAAACATTTTAGTTATGGCGGTAATGCCGTGGATTTATATGTCGGATTCTAGTCGTGAAGGATGTTCTTACGGAAGTGTTGCTTGACAAAAGAAATAGGATATCATTTAGGGGATTTGAAGGCCGTTTCAGTTGTAGGACGGTCTCATCAGCGCGTTGCGAAAGGCAAGAATTAACATAGCTAAATTTAAATCATGTACATACATTATACCTGTTTGAATAAAAGTTTTTAGATTTGAATTTTTCGTAGGAAATGAATAATGTTTTTTATTTTATTATATGGAGGTATCATTCACCTTCAAAACGGTTTATTTACACCTTGCATAATAATATAGTAAAAAGTGTTTTTGGAACAACGATATGCTCACACATCGGTAGAGCGTAAATCTTTTGCCCACATTAAGTCATAACGTTGAAATCGCATTAAAATTGCACTGGATTCTTGGATTGTACATTCATATTACTCATGATAACTTAATCTAATATAAAGTTATAAAAGTTCATGAACGCGTTTACGGTAAGTAGTAGGTACTCGATAGATGGAGTTTTCTGTATTTTGTATCATGCTGTTTATGTTACATGTTTAGAATAAAATGCTTTTCCAAGCGATTATTACATAGGTCCACACGGACCCAAGTCTAAGGTAGAGTAATAACGGGTGTTTCAGAATGTTTTTCGTTTTTAGATGTTAAATAAAAAACAATATTTAATAAAACTCGTTTTATTTATTGTTAAATTAAAGAGCAGTTCTTGAAGTTTATTTATAAAAAACAACCGCTTGCAAATGCGCACCATTCACTTGTTCACACTCATTTAACCTGGAGCTAAATTTTCCAATCAATCGCTGTAGCATGGCTCTTGGAATAAGAGTTGATTTCTTCCGTGATTCTTTGCTTTAAAATATTCAGGTTGGGTGGCAATGGATTGTAAACTTTACTTTTTAGGTAGCTCCATAGGAAAAAATCAGCAGGAGTTAAATCAGGGCTCCTCGGTGGCCAGTTGATGTCTCCTCAGCGACACCTCCAGGGAATAAATCTTGAACAGCAGCTAATGAGTCATTTGTAACATGAGAAGTGGCTCCATCTTACTGGAAAAAGGTGTTGCGGTTGTAGCCATACTGGTTTTGCATTTCTGTAGCCAAAAAGGTCCGGATCATATGGCAGTAACGAGTAGTCAATTCAAAAACGAAAAATATTCTGAAACACCCTTTATTTCAAAAATGCTATCAACATTTTTGTGAAGATAATCTTTTTGGTTTAACAACGTCTTT